TGCGGTTGAAGCTTTGGGGTTGTGGGGTTACCCGGGCGCAGGGTTTGCAGGGTGGAAAGCTAGACTACCGAGAGACCTCGGAGGCATCGGGCCGAGGGGTGGGCGGGTGCAGTTTTGGTGGTTTCTTTATTCTAAGATGCTTGGTACACTTCTCGATGTGTGCGATTTGGTGCTTTACAGCTTAGGGTCTTGGGATTTGCAGTTTTGGAGGGATCTTGGGGCTTAGAGCAAAGTTTAGGGTCCTAAACTGTCTGAAATTACGGTTGATGAGCTCACGGGAGTTTTTGAAAATGGGGGACCCTAATAGAGTACCCTAAAGTCGGCTTCCTTCAAGGGTTCCTGTACGGGTTTAGGGTTTAAGGGTTCCTTTAAGGGCTTAGGGTTTAGGGTTTAAGGGTTCCTTGAGGGGTGCAGAGTTTAGTTTTTTAAGGGCTCTTTTAAGGAAGCCTCTAAGTGCTTTATAGGGTTCAATAGGGCTTAGGGGATTGCACTCAGTTTGATATTGGATCCACACAGCTTCATACCTTGTTTTCCAGGTGGTTATACAGCTTGCGGGGGCGGGGCAGCGGGGTTTTTGTGGTGAGACATTGGAAGGTTTTGGGGGTAGGAGAGGACACTATTTCTTGCTATTCCGACCATGTCAATTCTGCAGGGCCCTGAACCCTGACTCCTGCACCCTAACCCCTAAACCGAAAGCCCAGGAACAACCTCCCTCCGTTGCAAGCGGCCCCCAAAAGAAGGTACCCCCCAATTCTCGGAAACTCCCTTATAGTTATAAGAGTGTTATCAGCCCTTTTCAAGGCTGTAAGTTCCTGCGCCAAGGGTTATACCCCGAATACTTCTACCCCTTAAGGTCCAAGTACTCCTTATTCTAGGACCGGACCTCAGAATAAGGTACCGCCACTTTGTCAACAAGCCCGGAGCGGAACTGGTACCCAGAAAGGGTAAAGCTTGTGAATTATGGTAGGATTACATGAACCCCCAAAGCTTAAAGGTTATGTGCTCAGCTACCGTTACTAAGAGATATTGAAACCATACAGTGGGTACTAATGTAAGTAAAAGTAACAAAAGGACCATCATGACGATGATATGAAAATTCAGGTGCGTAAAACTCGCCTGCTATAGAAGTGTGAAATATGCCAATGCTGCTCTGTAATTATGCTATTGTCAAGCGCTGGGATTTCTTACACTTTGCCTTAAGAGCATAAGGCGTAGGACAATGTTCCAACTTTCCGGCCCTAAACCCTTAACCTCTACAGCCCCAAACCCCCAAACCGTGACCGTAAGACCAATAACCCGTAAGCCCCTGAACCCTAAACCTCTCAAACTCTAAACCCCTAAACCTCTACCCAAACTCAAAGGCCCTAAACCTCTCAAACTCTGAACCCCTGCCTAGACACAACACTAAACCCTACTAACCTACTAAACCCAGAACCCTGAACCTTTACGAAGCGTATGTTGCAAAACCTTTACAGAAAGGAAACCCTGAAGCCCTAAACCCTAAACTACTTCCAGGTCAGCTGGGCAGCCAAAGCTTCCAGAGAGCCTTCCTGGTGCGCCATGGTCCGGTGCTGGAAGTAGAGCTTGTTCACAGAGGCCTTTGGTTTAGGGGCTTTATGGGGTTTAGGGTTCGGGGATTTAGGGGCCTTTGGGGCTGTTTAGGGTTTCGGGTGTTTGGGGTTCAGGGATGTACGTAAGGGTTACAAGGTTTAGGGTTCAGGGTTTGGGGATTTAAGGGTGTAGGGTTCAGGGTTTGGGGATTTAAGGTTTAAGTTTTAGAGTTTGGGGTTTAGCGGTTTAGGGCTTGGGGTTGATGGGATTGCTTTAGGGTCAAGGGTTCAAGGAAAAGAAAGAAGTTGGCTAACACCAGCAAGGCGCTTGTGGTGTTCAAAAAGGGAGCTGTGACGAGGTTCTCTCGTTTATATCTATCTGTACAGAAAAAATACGTATACATATATCTGAATTTGGAAAAACTGAAACAGTTCAAAAGGGAGCCGAAGAAACCGGTAACCCTTAAATCCCAAACCCCAAACCCTAAATGCACACTAAAACCCACCGATTGTGGGGCTCCCGGCATAGTCCGGTCGGCCATACCTCCACGACGATCCTTCCGGTGGCTCATAGTCTCCTCTGCGGAACCCTTGTGGCTGTGTTTAGAGTTCAGGGTTGAGGTTTAGGGTTGAGGGTTTGGAGGTTTAGGGGTTTAGGCTGGTTTAGGGGTTTAGGGCTTAGCTTTCAGGGTTCGGGAATGTTGCATACTGAGCTGTATTGAGCTGTCATGGTAAATGTAAATCCGGTGAGGTCTGCATGCTCCCGCCAGCCCGTCATCAAAGAAGTCATAATGACCCGAGCTGTCAGGATTTCGGGCGGGGGGTCTTGTGCCATGCTTCTCGCATTTCTCTTGGAACGTCGGTGATATTCTTCTTGCAATGGGTATCACTATTGTCAGTGGAAACAGTCGTGTCATACCTGCTACTTCTGTCAACTTTACAACAAGCACGTTTAGCATCATAATGTCGTAAGCACCATCGCATGTGTTACTCTGTTACTCGTATCACGAGTGTCATGCTTCTTACTTTGACTGAGAAGCCTGGATTTTCAGGGCCTCGGTGATTTACGGCTTTAGCTCCCAAGGCCATTGGCTTGGAATGCAGGTTGATGCAAGGTTTCCCAATATTCCCGCAACCTCAACCTTGCTTTTTAGTGTGTGGCTTCTGGCTCATGATGAGTACTGGGCGGCACCTGGGAACTCAACCCTAAACTGGTACTGGACCGCTCGAAAGAACCTGGTTTTTATACCGGCTTCGGCTTAAGACTCAGTTCATGAAACAGAAGATCAAAAACCCCAGGCCAAGATGAGCCACCCTAAACCTAAACCCTAAATCCTAATCCCTAAACCCTAAACCCTAATCCCTAAACCCTAAAAAAGCCCCAAACCTATATCCGAGCCTATGAAACCCCTAAACTGCTGCAAGGCACGGATTAGCTCTCCATAGGGCACGCCCGTGGACCTCAGAAGAGGAAGTGTTGAAGGTTCAGGGTTCTAGAGGTTTCGGAGTTGAGGAGTTTAGGTGCTCACGGGGGTTGGGTTTTGTGTTGGTGTTTGAGGAATTTGGAGGTTTTGGGAGTTCAAGCTGTTCCGGGCTTCGAAGTTCAAATGTTTAGAGGGCTTTAGGGTCTGTCCAAGGGCCGTGGAAATCACCAGAGGGTTCCGTAAGTCCCGAGCTTTGGGAGTGTAGGGTTTGAGGGTCGAGGTGCAGGAGGCTTGGGGTTTCCGGCGTCAGGGTTGAGAGGCTCTAGGCTTTATGCTTGAAGAATGGAGTCTGGGACTTGGATTAAGGGATGGTGGGGACATACTGTAGGCGCCTTAATAGTTACCTATACTATTTTGGGGGTTCCGTATTATAGGTCTAGTGTGATATATCCCCAAACCCTATTCAAATTATTAAGGCCCCTATAGTACAGCTTGGGGTCGAGGTTTTGGTTTTGATGGCGAGGTCGAGTGCTTCGGTGTGGGTTCTAGGGCCCGAGGGATTGGGAGACACGGTTAAGAGGACATGTGCTAAGCCAAACTGATTCTGAGTTGCCGATCGTTTTGGAGATAAACAACATGCAAAGGAATCTGTGCACAACAGCCATTGAAGCCAGAGCTGCACACGATGCGAACGTTGAAGACAAGCACTGCCCACCACAGCAACCCGTTACCCTTAAACTCTGAACCCGCAAGCCCCACACACCTAGCAACCATGAAAACATAGCCTGACTATTTCGCCCAACCCTTAACCTGCACCGACACATCCCAAATTTGGTGTCTTTAGTGTGTACAGGACTCCAAATACCAACTATTATCAAGCCGTATTGAGAAGGCCTGGTCTTAGTAAAACACCTTCAAACCCCCTCCCTTTTTGAGAAAACCAAAGCCCTGTAAACCTATGCACCGAAGCCAGGAAACCTTGCACCCCCGAATCCCCAAACCCGAACCCTCAACTCCCATGACCACATTGCAAAGGTGTTGCTAATATGACAAAGGCTTTGGCAAAAAGCGAGAGATAAACATGCAAAACAGATATGCACATATATATATATATATATATATATATACACATACATACACGTGTGTAAATATATGTATAAACACACACACACACTTTTGTATGTACTTACACAGTATACGTACGTTAATAACGAGGACCAAGGAAAAGTATTACTGGTCTTTATTCAGGCGTCTGTATTGCCTTCATCCCCAGACCCCAGACCATCGAATTCAAAACCCCTCAACCCTCAACCCCGAACTGGACCCTAAACGACCTTCATGCTGAAGGACTTGTATACGGAAATCATAGTAAGGAGCCCTAGAAAGGTGGGTGATTTGGGGTTCAGGTATGGCATAAAATCCCCAACACATCCCCAAACCCTGAACACTAAGCCCATCCCAGGTTCCGGGCTCGTCAGACAATGCCTGTGCCTGGCTTTTCTTCGCCATCCGGGGTGCCTGATTAGGGTTTAGGTATAGGATTCGTCTGAGGTAGGCGCTCTGTCTGGGCTCTTTGAGGATTTGACGAAGGTTAGGCTTTCGAGTGTTTCTTTCTAGTCTCTTTGAGGATTTACCCCAGGCCCTAAACCCGTTCTGTAAGGGTTCTACTAATAAGGGCTGCTTTCAGGGTTCTCACATGCCCGGGAACGCAAGGACTACAGGGCTTTAGGGTTCAGGGGTTGAGGGGTGAGAGTTTGGGGTACAAGAATCACAGCGTTCTGGAACCCTCCGCCCCCCCGTGTAAGTGCCCTTTGACCCCAAACGTCGGATCCTTCTGTTTATGTGCTTTTAGGGGGCCGCAAGTAGCCTCTGGCATGTTGTCGTGATTAGATAATAGCAACGCTCCTATTTTCCTTGAGCCAAAAGCAAGGTCAGTTGCATCTTACCTTTTAGGAAGATACGTGTCCGGAATCACCCCTCCTGGGCGGAGGCGATTCCGCTGACGTCCACTTTAGGACACTGTACACTATACAACTGCTTTCGCTAAACCGTTTCTACCAGAGACCACTTCGAAGCCCATGCGTTTCAGGTGCTGCTCAGCACTTTCCACGGCTAGCGACTTAGTAAGCAGGTCAGCCGTGTTCAGCTTGGTGTCGATCTTGAACAGCTCGAACTGCTTGTTTGCGAGCTTCTCTTGGATCCACAGGTAACGTGTCTGCACGTGTCGGGACTTACCCAACCCGAGTCTGTTGCAGGTACCCAGCGCAGCAGCGCTGTCAGTGTGAACCTGCAGCTTCACGTCCAAGCCCCATCCACGCAATAGCTCTTGAGTAGCCATCCCGCTGGCCACTCCCTTCACCAGAGCGTAGTACTCGGCTTCTCCCGAGGATAGTGACACCGTGCTTTGAAGGTTGCTCGAGTGTCTCACCTCGTGCTTGCCGTAGTAGCACACGAGTCCGGTGGTGCTTTTGCGCGTCTGAAGGCATCCCGCGAAGTCACTGTCCGCATGGACTGTGACTACCTCGCTGAACCTCTGTGGCGTGAACCTTTGCACCAGCCGCATTGTACCTTTCAGATACCGAGCCACCCTTTTGAGGTCTCCGAAGTCAGCCTCCGTAGGCCCTTGCATCTTCCGTGCAAGGCACTTGACGGTTTCAGACAGATCTGGCCTGTCTTGCGCCAAAAAGGCCGCACGCATGACCAAGGAGCGGTACTTGCTAATGCGGTCCGGCGCAACCGTAGGCATCTCCAGACGCTTTGCAACGTCTTCTGCCTTAAGCTTTTCGTTTGGGCTCTTTACCGGCTTGCAGGTTTCCATTTCCAAGTCTTTCAGAATGATTTCAGCGTGCCTGGGGTCAGGCTCGTAGGAGATAGTGCCTGACCTCTCGTCGAAACGTACGAGACGGTTCAGTACACAAAACTCCTGCCTCTTTTCCCCTTGCCCGATGCTTCCATCAACCCTAAGGTCGTACTTGGATCTCAGGATCTGCTCCACATAGGCTTGTCCGGCGTCGTCACTCAAAATGAGGAAATCGTCACCGTGGACCAGGAGACGAATCTCTCGATCCTTGTGGAAGAAGATGGCAGGCCATGCTGGGCATCTTTCGAACCCAGCAGCCAAAAGGGCCGCGGTGTAATCAGCCTGCCATATGGCAGCTGCATCCCGCGTCCCATACATGGACTTGCGAAGCTTGCCAACCATCCCTGGTGTACGGTCACCCTCAGGTAACGTCACAAAGACATCCCTCTGGGCCTTCCCATAGAAGTGAGCCCGGGATATGTCGATGAGCCGAAGCTTCAGAGGTGATCGGCTCTTCTTGGCGACCTTCAGTGTCACCATGAGTGACAGGAGCAGTTTTACCGCCTCGAGGGGCGGCATCGCGCTAAAGGAAGCGAACTCGGGAATGAATTCCGCGTTCTTGGCACGCTTTACCTCACGACAGACAAGTCGTGATCGGTAGTTGGGCCGTTCGTTATCCCCTTTATTGCGATCTACCCATTTCATCGTTATGGGCATCTTTCCTGCAGCCTTTGCTTGCTCCTCCGGAACTTTCTCGTAGAGGTCTTGCTTTCGAACCCACTCTAGTTCTTCCTTGCGAGCGGCTGCAACCTTCTCGAGGTCCAACTCTGCTCCAGTGTTGGAGTCGTAGACAGGTCCCTCGATAGGATCGCTCGCCTCCGGAAGGTGGTTGAAGACCTCTTCCTCCTCGTCAATGACAGGAGCAGAGTCCGGTACAGGACCTGCCTCCATCATGTTGAGAGCTTGAGAAAACTCGCCGTCCTCGATAAGTTGGGCGCGAAACGCCTCCAAGATACCCTGCACAAGCTTTGCGGGATATTCCTGGGTGGCCTTGACCCGTCCCTTGACGATCTCGGCCTCCCGGTGCCAAAGCTTGCCCTTTGATGCCGCGCTCGCTCTGCGCAGCACGTCGGCGACGGTACTCGAGTTCGTGAGCCACCGCGTCTCCTTGTTCACAGTCGCTTTAGAGCTTCCACTCAGACTCCACCGACAGGTGGGACCTCGAACTTCAAAGACGCGGGGGTCCGCCTTGAGTTCCTTAACCTCTGGCTCCTCCCAGCTTCTTGCTCCCGAAGGGTGCTCGTGCAGAAAGTACCTTCCTGCGTTCACTTGCGTCCAGTAAGCACGGACGGTGGTCCTCAGATGCTTCTGGTCTCGTTCCACAGCCTCGCGCCTAGCGGAAGGCGCGACCTTCGCAGATGCATCCACCACCTGCTGTAAACTTGAGAGCGGGCCACGTGGTGGCGAGCCCCCAAGAAACTTGGGCTCCTCACGCTCCAAAAGCTCGAACAGCTCGTTCACGTGGGAGTCCTTGCTGAGGTCCCAGGCTTCGCCGTCCCCACGAGTAGCCTCGAGGTCCACAGAGAAACCAGGCCTCATGGCCTTCACTTGTGCCTGTGCCGCAACCCGCGGCACGGAGAAAACTTCCTTCACGGTGCCCTTGGCGCGCGCGTCCCTCAAGACAGCGCAGAGGCACTCGGTGAACTGGTTCAGAGCCATAGCGCCAGATCCTCCAGCCGAATCGGCCGATGGCTCTGGCACCCGCTCTTGTTGGGGATCTCTACTCCCAGCAGAAGGGAGTGGCCCCATCACTGTTGCTTCTTCTCCTCCTCCATCTGCTTGCTGCATCTTTTCGTGCAGCACTTCGACGTCCTCGTCGGCGTCTCTCTTCTCTCCTTTCTTCTTTCCTTCCTTCCTCTTCTTCCTGGGGCTTCCATCTCGAACGTCCTCGCGTTCCTGCTGCTTCTCCCGCAGCCATTTCGGCGTCTGGCTCCGGCGCGCCGACCAACACAGGTGCGTTGGCCGCGGCCGCAGCTGCTGGAGCCCCTCCTTGGTTCTTGGGCCTCCTCCCGGCGTCAAGCCGGGCCCTGGCCGCATCAATGCGCGCCTTTCCGTCTTCAGTCTTCTGAAGTTCCGCCTGGATCCTTAGGCGGCACTCGTTATTGTGCGATCTGCGCGGCATATCGCAGATCAGGGCTTCACAGCCCGGGCACAGCGGCGTGTAGCCGTGCCTCTCCAGGTCGCTCTTTAGAACGTACAGGTTCCTCGGAACCACTTCCTCCTGCGGCGCACGCCTCGGCTGTCCAACCACCGCAGGCAGGTCGACCCGAAGCTCTCCTGGCTCTCGGGCCTGGAGCCTCCAAGGAGCTCCAGTTCTCGTACTTGTACTGGTCCGCAGGAGGCCGGCGCATGATCGAGGCGCCCTTCACAACACCCCGTTCTGTCATGATGAACACGTCGTTGTTGGCGCCAACCCCCACGAACATGCCCATGCTAACTCTGGGCTCTAGGTCGTGTTTCCTGCCGTCTCGCGGCTGCCTCGGCCTAAAGAGCACGTGCTCGCCGAAGCTCACAAGTGGAGTCTTCCACTTCCTTCCGAACGTCCTCTCGTAAGGCGTCCGGCCGTCCGCTCCCACGCGGAACCGAGAAAGCAGGTAGGCAGCGTGGCGCGGAAGCCACATCATGCATGGATGGGCCGGCTCGATATCGAAACCAAGCCGCTCTTGCAAGTCCGAGAGAATCGCCCGGACCTGCCGCTTCATCTCACGCACGCCCACCTCAATGTATCCATTTGCTTGGTGGTCTTCCACCGGCACCTCAACGAGGTGCACCTTCAAACTCATCTCTTCTTTCACCTTCTTCTTCAGCGCCACGATGGGGTTCTCGTTGTCGCTTTTCAAACAAACTTCCTTAAAACCTGTTTCGTTCAAGCAGCGCTTTAGCCACTCTACAGCGTAAAGGTCAGTACCCTTTTGCGGCACTACTGTAGACCAATACCTATCAGTTTTGTGACACTTCACTACCAAACAAGGCAGCACTCCCTCACTCTCGCTCTTTTCTTGGCCAGAGTTCAGGTAAAAGTAGTCTAGTGAAACGTAGGGCAACCTACCAGCGTCGTGGTCCGCAGCCTCGCCGGTCGCATGTCGTGGGGCCCCAGCACGGGCCCTGCAGCAGTGTATGCACCAGGAACGGTGCGTAACATGCCCCGCTGCGCGGTGTTCGTCGATCTCGGCGGGCGACGGATCTTTGGGAGACCGCCGGGCGATTGCCATCCGCCCCTCATGTGCAGCTTCCCCATCGCCGGCAGGGGCCTCCGGCGGGGGATCGTCAGGACTTACGCCTTCCGCTGCCCCGGAAAAGGGGCATCCTCCTTCTCCTTCTCCTCTTCGTTGTCGCCCGTTGCGTTCAGCTCGGGCTTCCGGTCCGTGGTGCGTGGCTGCACCCAAAAGTCAAGCATATAGATGCCGTTCTCGACGGTAACAGGCGTAAGCATGGCGTGGTGGCGGGCCACCAGGCCAGCCATGAACTGATCGTACTCCGCGGCCGCCTTGCTCCCAAGGGGAATCAAGCAGCCGCCCTTCTTTGTCAGCGCCAGGTGGTGGCCCTGAGCCACCTTGCTTCCCGACGCCAGCGGGCGATGAACGCCCGTGACCCTTCCGGTCACTCCCTTCAAGTTTCCACGGGCGTCGGTGCCTCGAATCTGCAGGCCGCCCTCGTCCCGCATCATCTCGGCGTTTGCGGTCTTGTAGGTTGTTCCGCTGGTGGGCCCCAAGGCATATCCCATCTCCTTCAAGCTTTCCGCAAGCTCGATTGGGATCGCGGTCGCGGCGGCCCCGGTATCCAGATTCAACCGGATGCGTTTCCATCCGTCCACCTCCTCGACCACTCCAGCCGAATCGGCCGAAGTGCCAAAGGAGTGAACGAAGATGCTGGGTCCTCCCGGTGGCCCCTTCGGCCTCTTCGGCCCACTTTGGTCGTCTCGGGGCTCGTCCGGTGGCGGCGGCTCGTCGCGCTCTTCCTTTTCTCCACGCTTGCGACGCCGCCTCGCAGCATTCTTCCGACGATAGTAATCGGCCCCTCGCTTGCGAGGGCCTCTCTTTTTCTTGTTCGGGTCCTTGGCCAGGAGCTCCTCCTCGTCGTTCGGCTCCTGGCGTAGGTTCTCCCGAGCTTTCCTCGAGAGTGGCGCGGCCTCCTTCGTAGCCTCGCCTTTCCCTTTGTCCCGCGACCGTTCGTCGATCACCTCGGTCTCCCCGCGGAACCGATCGGTCTTATCGACCTTCTTCCCGGCGCCCCGGTCCTCGTAGCGTCGGTGCCACTCCTCGTCCTTCTCCAGGCGGTCTGCCACCCGATCCTTCAGCCCTTCGCGGCGGCTGAGGATGGCACGCCTTCTACCTTTCTCGCCTTTCCATGCCACGTGGTGGGCGACGCCGGCCGCCCGATCTGCGTAGTACCGGCTGTCGTGGGAGGGCTGGTCGTCCGGGTTCTCCCTGGTGATGACCACGCTTTGCCTCGGCCGGTCTCTCGCGAGCTGCTTGCGCTGTTCGTCCAGGCGCTTCTTAGCGTCTTCATCCTCTTCCTCGTCGATGTTCTTGCGCAGCTGCTCCATCAAGGCACCACGCAGCAAGTTGATGCTCCCAGCGGTGAACCCTGAGAGGCGCTTTGGCGGCGCCACCGGCTCACTGGAGCTCCTCTTCGGTGGCGTCTTGGGCGCCTTCGGCTCGCTGGGTGGCGTCTTGGGCGCCTTCGGTTCGCTGGATCTTCTCTGCTTTGGCGGCGGGCCCTTAGGCTCGTTAGGCTTCCTAAGGTCCGGCGGCGGCTTAGGCGCCGAAACCTTGGAGTGCGTCGTGCCCGCGGCGGCTCCAGGCGAAACAAAGCCCGGAGTCTCGCTCGCACTCTTCTGCTTGGCCCGCTCCACCGCCTTCGCGGCAAACCGGCGCACCGCAGACCTTCCGCGGTCGCGCCTCTCCGAGCAGGTGTCGCAATCTGTTCCCTGGGCCTTCAAGACAGCCTCTCCAAGCGACCCCGGCGGGATCTTCTTCCGCAGCTCCTTCTTGTGATCCTGGCGCTCCCGAAAGCGCATCTTCTTCCAATCTTCCTCTGGGATCACATGCTTCATCCCGGCACTCCGGGTTCTCTTCTTGTTTCGCGGCTCCTCCTCTTCGTCTCCGTCCCCGCTGGTGTCGTCGCCGCTGCTTGGCTTTGTCAACTCCCTGCGTGCGGGGACCTCTTCTTCGGCTTTCGGTAGCACCTTCGGCTTGGGCTTCAGGTACTTCGCCGCCGGCTTCGGCGGCACCCCTTTCGGGGGACTGGCCTTCGGCTTTGGAGCCTCCACCTCCGGCTTCTCCTCGTCTTCGGTCTTCACCTCTTCTTTCTTCACTTCTTCTTTCTTCTCCTCCTTCTTTGCCCTTTTGGGCGGCTTTGGTGGAGCCGCCCTTGGGGTCGCAGGCGCAGGTCTCGGCGCAGCACCTGAGGAGCCTCCAGCCGAACCGAAGCCGGAGGACTCAAGCTGGGCCGCCTGCTGCCGCACGAGCATCCCCAAAGTGAGGTTCTCACGCAGAAGCCGAAGCATCACATCCACACTGGTGTCCCGAGAGGACCCTGCCCCGGAATCCGAAAGCAGAGACACGCCCCCGAGCTGAGCCACCAGAGGCAGGCTGGAGAGAGCATTCACAAGAGCCGGGTCCGCCAGTGAAGCACCGGCAGGCACCGTAGGGAACACGCTGGTTGCCGTAGGGGCGTCTGAGACCGGAGGGTCTTCTTCCACGAGCTCCTCCTCGCGGCTTTCCTCTTGCATGTCGCGCGCCATCGGCGCGGAAAGGTGCAGGGCTCCTAGAGCTAAGTAGTTACTTTCGTTTGAGCCCGCAGCTTCGTTCCAACCCTCGTTTTGGTCCCAGCCCTCTTCCCAACCACCGCCGTCCCAGGTAGTGGCCTCTTCTCCTTCCGGCTCCTTCTCTTCTTCCACGTTTCCAACCTGCTTGGTCTTTCCTCCCTTTCCTTTTCCTCCTTTTCCTTTGCCTGGCTTTCCTCCTTTTCCTTTCCCAGGCTTTCCTTTGGGTCCTTTTCCGCCCTTTGGCGGGCTGGCGTTGTTCGGCTTTCCGCCGCTTCCTCCTTTCTTCGCTTTTCCTCCGCCCGGTGCCCAGCAGTCGGCGACAAGGTGTCCTGGCTTGCCACAGTTGTGGCATACACGTTGTTCCTTCTTCGCCGGCTTGCCTTTTCCTTTGCCCTTGGGCTCTTGACCGAACGCGCCGACGTCCATTGGCGCCGGACCGCCCGTGTCAACAGGCGCACCAGGCTTGAGCTTGAGCCCCACACGCGTCTCCAGGTAGGCGCTCAGCTCTTTGCGCACATCCTCGTAGCCATCGAACCGTGCTTGGTTCAGCTGCAAGTGCTTTTCGACCTCCGTCGGGCAGATCGACTCGAGGATCGCCGTCTTGATGTCCTCGTCAAGGGTCGGCCGCGTACCGTCAGGCTTCCGCCTGTTTTCGTACAGGCGCACTTGTTCTTCCCAAGCCTCGACCGCAGCCGATAGCTCCTCAACGCGGTTCACCCTTTGCGGGTTCAGCACGCCCCGCAGCATAGCTCGGCGGCGACCTCCCGTAGAAGGATCGAACCGCTTGCTGAGCTTCCTCCAAGCTTCCAGGCCCTTTCCCTTGCCGCTAGACCGGACCAAGGTAAAGGCCTCCTTCTCACAGAGCGTTTGCAGCACAGCGTAAAGCTGGGCCTGCATATCTTCGAGATCGGCAATGTGCTTCTCGGTCGGGTTCGTTTCCCCGAAGGCAGCGGTAAGCGCAGCCGAGCTGATAGGATCAGCTTCTTCCTCTGCCCAGGCCATAGCAACCTCAAGGTCCGGGTGGACGCTCGCAACAAACGCCTCTAGGCGTATCTTCCACTGGAGAAAATCCGTCTCTCCACTGTAGTTGCTGGGCTTCGCGAGCCCCCGATTGTCAATCAGCGTCAGCTTCTTATCCGGTCTCTTGGTCGCTTCCAGAATGGCTTTCTGGGTCTCCACCATCTGCTGCATCACGGTCTGCAGCCCAGGCGAAACGCCCGGACCGCCAGCCGCAGATGCAGCCGTTGCTTGCTGCGCAACCGCCGTCAGGCGATTATTCAGATCCTCTTCTCTCCTCCTGCTCTCCAGCAGTTCGTTCTGCAAGGCTTGCAGCTGGGTAGCCAGCTGGGTCACATCAATTGCCCCGCCTGCCATCGCGACGCCTTGTGGTCCTCACAGGTCGCTCTTGGGCCTCTCCCTGCCGAAGCAGCTGGGAGTCAAGCAGGCGCGTACGGAATTCCCGGCTGAAGTTCAGCCCCTGAAGAAACAGGCCCAGATGGCCCCAAATGCGTTGCAAGCGCCGAATGCGCTGCAACTTCCTGATCAGCCTTGCCCACCTGTTCACCACACAGGCCCGGTATCGCCTTGCACAGAGCCTCAGAACGAGACCTCGAAACATTCACTCCTGGAGCGCAACCGAGCGCTCCGCTACCATGATTAGATAATAGCAACGCTCCTATTTTCCTTGAGCCAAAAGCAAGGTCAGTTGCATCTTACCTTTTAGGAAGATACGTGTCCGGAATCATGTCGAGACAATCCCTCAAAAAAGTCGGTCTTCCTGTTCCTTGGTTCTTAACTAGGAATACAAGTATAGGGTATAGCCTGCTTTTGGGCATGATCCCTATACATTCAACTTTAGGGCTTTAGTTCAAGGTACGGCCACGGCAGGAAGGATTCACATAGAGCCTCGCACAGAAACCTGCAAAAGCCTAAGTCGCAATGTAGAGGTCCTTATAGAATCGGCTTGCTCTCTATATTCCACTATGATGATCGACCAACCGCATGCGCGACGGGACATACGTTCGATGGAAAACTTACAAAAGCATGAAGGTTGACCCCACAGATGTGTGCAAAGGAACACCCTCATTTGCGTTTCTATGGTGTGGAGTTGAGCACATACTTATCCGAGCAAGGTCAAAACTTGTCAAAACATTACCAAGAACTGAAGCACAACCCTTCGCACATCACTGATCACCTTGAAACTGGGCATCGCCAGTTCGGTACTTGTATTGTCAGCTCTGCAGCAACATGGGGACTATACGCGATTAGTAGTATTGTTAAAGAATGAAAACTATCTCGAGCCGCAGAGACATCCACTCGAGCTCCGGCTGAATGGAGCTAAGCCCAAATCCTACAATTAAGCCCTTAACCCTACAAGCTCTGAGCCCGCGAAGCCCATCGCATCGTGTGGAACCCTCAAGCGCCTCGCAAACCCGAAATCCAAGACCCGAGATGCGCTTGGGGTTTAGCGGTTTAGGGTTTGGGGCCCTAAAGCCTACCCATGGGCCCCACACTAGTTCCCTTCTGGAATTACCTTATAGGATTCTAAAAAAGAACTCCAAAAAGGAACTACTTTGGGGCCTGTGGGTAAACCCTAAGACTTCACGGTGCGCCTCAGACCCCGTTGGGTCCGACCAGCGGGTACCCGTTCTCGAAGCTAACGCTGCGGTGGCAGGCCGGTTTTGGCGTTCAGGGTCCACAGGGCTTTGGGCTTATGGCGTTTACCTGGACCCCAAAAGACTGTAGAATATATAATGGCCTTTTGTAGGTTTTGGGCCATGATTCTACCTACTTTGGGGGGTCCAGGTATGGGTTTAGGGCTCATAGGGTTGAGGGGTTTAGGGCGTAGGTTTAAGGGTTTCGCCGGCTTTAGGCTGCTGGAGGATCGAGTTCTCGAGCTTTTGAGCTCGTAGAACGTAGGGTGTAGAATGCAGAGCTGCAGGCATTCAGATCTGTAGGCTTTGTAAAGCTCAGTTCCTAAAACCCCGTTATAAAGAAAATAGCACCCAATCAGAAGATCCTACAACATCCCTCTGCCTAAACCCCCCAAAAGTAGGTAAAATACTGGCCCAAGACCTATAAAAGGCTATTATTCTACATACTTTGGGGGGTCCAGGACTTGGGGTTGAGGAATGCTTCAGAGGCCCAGGACTTGGGGCCGAAGAGCCTCCGTCAGAGCGCCTAGCTTTCTCCGGAAGTCCAGGCATCTTGGGCTTTGTAGGCTTTTGTAGGGTTTTGTAGGGGTTTATAATTAAAGTATCAGAGTGTTAGGAGCCCATCTATATGGGAATTCCCGAAAATAGCGGACCCTAATATAGTACCCGAAATAGTGGGATCCTGATTTTCAGGACCCCTAAATGAAGTACCCCTAATTTTCGGAAACTCCCTTATCGTTATAGGAGTGTTATAAGCCGCTTTCAAGTCTGTAGGTTCCTGCACCAAGGGTTATACCTCAAATAATCGAATGCCGCTTCTCTTTAGCAACACTTCCCTAAACTTAAACTCACAAAACCGTCTTGGCCGATAGGGGGTGCAAACACGAACCACCGGAATTGACTCTTGATGGCGGCTCTAAAAATGATTAATAAATCGGCTTGACGGGTGTACCAGAAGTACAAATAGAAGGACTATGAGACTATGAGGAGATACATTCAACAGTAACTCTGCCCTCTGTATCCCACCTAAAGTTTCTGTCTACTTATGTATACATCCATACTACGGTGTGTCCAAGGACCCCCAATCCAAATCATTACGGCACTAACCTTTACAGTCAACCGGTGGCAGTAATCCCAATGTTAAATCCTCGTAACAACCCCTAGGGCCCTAGGCCCTACAATATAGGGGCTTCAATAATTACTTAGAATCGGTTTTTGGTGCCCATTATAATTCTAGTAAGGAACCACAAAATGGTGTAGGTAACGATTATGGCCACTAGATTAGAGCAACCCGTGTCTTGTTTTAAACCTCACACGGCAAAGATTCGAGGTCATCGGTCCAGCTCCTCAGGCTGGGCCTTGGTTCCAACGTGGGCCAGGGAGCACTGCTGGATGCTTCTATTCGGGGGTGCTTCGGGTTCAGAAGTTTGGAGTTTACGGGTTTAGGGTCTGGTGCTTTAGGGTTGGGGTTCAGGCCTCCGGAGATTCTTGTTGAATGCCAACTCGGGTCTGTATGAACGGCTTGGAGGTTTAGGCTTTGGGGTTCCTATAGGGTTGTATTTATTTAGATCGGCTTGTTTGAGGTTGTCGGAAGGTTTAAACATTGCTCGAAGCTTCTATACGGAGCCCTCTGTAAGGTTGTTGTTGATGGTGTCTTGAAGGTTTCTATACAGATTGTTCTGATGTTTCTGCAAAGGCCGAATACATGCTGTTAAGAGCTGTGGCAAGGGTCTCATGATCTGCACAGGTTCGAGAAGTTGCTTTGTTGCCGGAGTTTCAGTGCCCGGGTCTGCTTCGACAACGCTTTACGCACGTCAATCTTCGCGGTTCCCCGCAAAAGCGTTCACCAGCACACGTAGTGTAGCAGCCATCAACTAGAACATCAGGGTTACAAGCATCAAAGCGCATACGTTGACAAGCCACCTTACGTATTCCCCGCCACCGCCGCTGCTAACTGCTCGGAGAGCTTTTTCCGAATCTTGCTCTGCATATCCCGTTCTGCCAGAGTCTTGATTGAGGATGATCTTTCGAAGTCAAAGGGATTCGGAAACTGCTTCAGTGTGGATGTTTGTGGCCGGTACCACACCGGTGGGCGCCTGTTTAGCGGCCTCTGGGTCTTAAGATCTTACTTGTGGCTTAGACTTTCGGGTTTTGGGGTCTGTGGTCGTGTGTTTGGGCCTCCGATTCGGGACACGAGGTGAGGATCGGCAAACTAGGGCCCCACAAGAGCCTCACCTCCGTCTTAGCAAGGATTGGGGATCCTATGGCCTTGGGTTTTGAGATGCTTTGAGTTCGAGGGCCTTTGGGGAGGGGCGTGTTGCAACTTTGTGTTCAGGCAGCGGAGCTGAATGACTCCATGCTGCAGTGTCGGTAAGAAGGAAGACCTACGCCAATACCTCGGAGCCACAGCAACCTACATGCAGGTCTCATCCTGAAATTTCGGTTCCGGGCTTCCTGGTCTACTTCTGCAATCGGGGTCACTTCAGCAAGAAACTTGATTACCGAAATCCTGAACCACAAGCCATGCGAACCAAAACCCGCTTAGAGCTCCAACTCGAAGCACCAACAGTCGCTAAGTAGGGTTTGCACTCGGGATGGGCCGCGTGCACCTTCTTTCGCACCCAAACTCAACTCATGCGTCAAGCTCGGAACTGTCGTCCCACTCTTGAAACCCATCGGCGTCGGATGGACGACGATCGACGAGGAGAGCACGATCGCCCTCTGCCTCTGCGCTCTCCTCCGACTTGTGGTCTTGCCGACTCCGGCACACCTGTTTCCAAGCCTCCCAGACCGACCGCATCCAGACATAGGTTGTGTAGAATTGCAGACAGAACAGCAACAACACAGGAAAGTTGAAGTGGTTTTTGTCGAAGTGCGCCATGTACCAGCCCGAGGAGCTTGACACATCTGTCACAGAGTAGGCCGCAACCGGCCCCGAGAACAGCATCTGGGCAATACGGTGCTCTCTCTCCCTATGCCGATGATGTGGGCGTATGATCGCAGCAGCAACAGCTCGCCAGTTCACTGGCAGCCCAGGTTTGGCGGATGCTCGTATCCAGCAAGCCACCTGGCTGATATTCACACACGTAAGCAGCAGCATGACAGCCCAATATATTGAGACAATGTACGTGCCAGAAGCGAATACATCCCGAAAGAAGAGGTGATAATGATGGACGTAGTACCTTGCATCTTCGACTGCCACGCCAAATCTAGCAACCAACATCGGCACGAAGCCGCCTACGAACAGCACGCTAAGCAGCAGCACTTCAGAAGGCCATGTCTTGAACTGCACCTCCTTTTTGGCTATCTCGACGGAATAAAAGTTTTGGAAGTCGACGGTGTGCCGTCTGCTCTGCTCGAGGAGATTCTGCGAGGTTTTGACGGAAGGAAAGGTGAGGCGAAGGCTCAGACCAGCGAAGAAGACCAAAGAGCACCAGGAAGCCCAGTCCGCCCACGACCACGTGTTCCCCAAGACCGCATACACCTGCACGAAGGTTGTGATGAAGCTTTCGGGGAACTCCAATACCTTGTGCTCGACTAGCTCTTTGGTGGGGAAGCCCCGCATCCAGCTCTCCAGCAAAGCTTTGAGACCTCGACCTTGGAGGAAATCTTGGGACATGGTCACCATAACCCCCAGCATCACCAGAGTGAAGTACAACGGCTGCCCCCTTCTGGCAAAAGTCACCAAGGACCAAACGTCAGATGCCGGCTCAATTATCATTCCAGCAGCCTGCAGCAGTAAGTCGCGCCTGGCCGCTTGAGCATCACAAAGCGCTGGGCGCCACCAGAAGAGCTTTGACAATGCTGTATTCGCCAATTCAGGTGAAAGCTCCGTGGCGCTTGGTTTCTCGGTAGCGGGCTTGTCCTCAGCATAGAAAGCGGCCCAATCCAGCCCAACAAAGCCATAGAGTGCTGCAACAAAAACTCCCGACCATGCGGGAACAAAACGAAGGGCGAAGCCACCGAAGGCTGCCTTCCAGCAAGAAACCCGCAAATTGGCGGCATCGTGCCCGGTCCGATAGTCGTCGTCCAAGTCCAAAAAATAGGATACCCAGAAGGTCCAGTCAAGCATGGCAAGCCAATCAAGAGAGGCACCAGTGACCCTATGGCAATACTCCAAGCAATCCTCTGCAATTGTGATATTGCCTACCACATCTCTGCGTCGAATCTCTGTGCAAGAAGCCCTGTTTCCTGGCCCGCAATGGTGAACCGAGAACGCAAAGTGCTGATACCACTTGGTCATGTCACAGGCAATAGTGGGATCGAGACGGTCTCGGCTACAGCCGTCCTGCCTCAGCACGGGCAGCACTATGAAGGGCCCCGAAAAGGTCCAAGTCAGCAGCACCACACATGAATAGACGGCAATTTTCCAAGGCTCACAACGTCCACGAAGATAGTCAGCCCGAGCACAGCAGAAGACTGCGGTCAGCAAGGCAACCCATAAAAAAAACACAACAATCCATGCACAAACAAACATGTCGAATCGCAGGATCAGACCCAGCACCCCTAGTTCACGGACTGAGAGCAACTCGGCTGATGGAGTCGATGTTGGCACGACCTTGTCCTGGGAAGACAAAACCCTGCAGAACCGAACCGACCCGTCCTTCGGATCTCACACCCTCCAACACTGAAACCTCTATCTTGATCCCCGTGTATGAGCTTCTGCGACAGAGCCCGGCTCTGTGGCGGGAACGTCCCTCTCTGGGGGGCCTGGCTGGCCGCGGGTAAGCGCGAGTATGCGTCGGGAGTGTCGCCGGGCAGGCGCGAGCATAGCGAGAGAGACCAAACAAAATGCAGCTGCAATCGTGAGTCGTGCCGACTGTATAAGACTGAAAAAGACCAATTAGGTAAAAATGCTCCGCAGAATCAAGATAAGAAGTCAGTCTCAGCAAGAGATCGAGTATGGTTTGCCAGTCATTACCGTAGCAGCTGAGCCACCACTTCAGGTGTCAAAGGATCAAGAAAGCTGCGAAAGACCGAAAGACCTGCAGCCTCATCACCAGAAAGCCCCAAATCCTCTGAACACTGACCATATAACCCCAGTATCAACCCTAAACCCTCACCCCATTGCGCCTCCGAGCTCACCCTGCAGAGCACGAAAGGAGTGCGGCAAAGGCTGCGGTCACATCGAATCTGAACTGTTTCGGGCTTCAAGGGTTCTGGTGGGCTTGTAGGGTTTAGGGTTTCGGGGTTTTGGTGTTTAGGGTTCCCCTGTTTCGAGGTTTGGGGGTTCAGAGTTCAGGGTTTAGGGCTTTCGGGTTTGGGGTTTAGGTCGAGGGCCTGGGTTTCGAGGATCTGCGCTCTGCCTCAACATCATAGGCTTTTGTGAAGTTTCAGGCCTTTCTCGAGGCCCCTGGCAAGAAACGCCAGCAGGAAAGAAATTTATCAGAAGCTCACGACGGTTCAACACCATGCACCCTTTACCTTCAAGCCTGTGTCCCTCTGGAGCCTGGACCTCTCCTAACGAACATCTCGCCAAGGCAATCCACCTCCATCCTTCGAGGGTAGCTCAGCCTTGTAGTCCCTAGGACACCAAGCTACGGAGGCGTGGGATACAAGCGGAAACCCCGCCGAACACCCCAAGATATAGATGACTAGCTTGCTTCCGCGCATGAAGCAAACTTTAGCCCCAACAAAACAGCCAAACAAAAACTACACCAAAAAACCAGCTCCCAAACCCTAAACTCCCCCCCCTGGACAAAAGAAAATCATAAACAAGGAGCCCTGTTCTTTGCCTTCTTCCTTCCCCTAAGGGTCCATGTGCCCAAATCGTATATACTTTGGCCTTAAAGTACTACCTATATAGGTACATTGGGCGCAAAGTATATACTTTTTCGGTACATGGATCCTTAACCTTATAAACCTTGAACTGTAAACACCTTTTTTTGGCGCGGCAGGGGACGGCCAAGGTTGGTCATCGGTCGAGGGCCTCGAGCTGCGCCTTGGTCCCAACCTCCGCGACGGAGGGCCCTTTTTGGGGTTTAGGGTCTTAGGGTTTTAAGGCTTCGGTTTAGGGTTTAAGGCTTTGTTTGTTTAAGAGTGTGCTGGGGATTTCTCCGCAGAAGCTGGGTTTTGTGGTTTAGGGGCATTTACGCTGACAGGGCTTTTAGGGTTTAAAGGGCCTTGGGCACAAGGTTTCTAGGGCTTTAGGGTAAGTTTTAGGGAATTTAGGGTTTGGGTGCAAGGCTTCTAGTATTCAGGTCTACGGGTGCTTTCTGGCAGGATCGGCCCTGGAAGATTTTTGCCCTACATCACTCTCCTGAAGGTCCCTATATCATGAGGACCCTTAGGGGGGAGGGGGGAAGAGGGTACAAATAGCCCTGATTCAGACCCTAAAAACATGTATTAAGGCCCCCTACCCCCTTCCGCCCTGACCCCCCAAAATTCCCCAGGACTACAGCAGGGTGTCATGTGCCAGGCGGCAGCAAAGCTGTCCATAACGGCGTTGATTTGTGCGGAAGACTCCTGGTGAGCTTCTTAGGGGTTCAGGCCCTGGCTTGTAAGCTTATGGGGTGTTTTTGTAAAGGTCTGGTGAATGCTAAGCTGCCCCGGACGGTCCAAGTACTCCTTATTACAGGACTTTATTTATGTAGGGCCGTTTAAGGTATCGAAAGCCATTCGGTGTTTCACAACGCCGGAGGCAAGCGGCGATCCTCTCCAACACAGCAAAAGGAACGCAGACGAATCAGCGCTCGATGTCAGAAAGCTGGTCAAAGCCCCTGTGCCAAGACTGCTATCTCGAGAATCGGAAGCCCCGCAACAGAAAACCCAGCTTAAGCTCGCAAACTTGCAACTAAACTTATATAAAGTCAGCATGACCCAACAAAACTAAGAAGTCCCAAGCAGTTGGGGGTGTGACTGTCATGGGGTATGGGCATGCTCAACGTCCATAGTTATTACTGGTTCATTCTGTTGATCTTTAAACCGTAGCTGAATCTACGGAAAAGACACCTCCAACGGACGAATAACCGACGCCACGACGGCGGCATGTGCATGTCAGGGCGCCGGAATCACAAGCCGAAACAAGCTTATTTTCCCGGCAGCCGTGGAAATGAAACATTTGTAAGAACTACCTATAAGTAACAATAGTTCAATAGACCCAAATCCTCAAGCCCTTTACCTTACGACGAGGTCCTTCCAGCTCTCCGAGGGAACGCTACACTCCTCGGCTGTTCAAGCTTCTTTCGCGGCCCGCCCTGGAGGTGTTTCGCAATGTCGCTCGGCTGTTCAGAGACCTTTCCCAGTAGTTTTAGGGCCGGTACCGGTATCTACGGAACCTCTTCTTCCGGAGCCTCTAATTTAGGGGTAAGACTTCGGCATTCAAAGCGCCAGATGTAGAGAATATAGGCATAGGGGTCCTCAATGTATGGGACTGTAAAGGGCGTTCCAACGGAATTGGTATGGGGGCCTGAACAACTGGAATGCCGTTTTGAGGAATCTGACATAATAACAACAGAGGGGGTAAACGGAATATCACTAGTGCCTACGTGTACCTTCATAGTACAGTACGGCACCAGCATTTCCACGGGCTCCGGGCTTGCGGTAGATTTACAACTTGACCTTCCTGAGAGGAGTCTCACACATCGATTGTTGCAAATTGGACCTGATTTATGCTGTGCGCATTTGCTATGGTAATACGAGTCTACTACGAGCCTTCCATCGGTTGGTTACACCTACTTTGGCCGGGTCGTATGGCTTGACTTTGTTGAACGTGCACCAGTAAACTGAAGATGGTTGAAGGGCGCGCAAGCTCACACTGACAAAAGCCTCAATATACCTCCTTAAACATAGATCCTAACTGAGCCCTGCACCGAAACACCCCTGCACCTAAACACCTCAAGCTAGGGGTGTGTAACTTTCATTATTAGAGGGAATCGATCTCCCAGTGCTTCCACGGGGCAACCAGCCACAGCGCATATGGTGCTTCACCGGCACTCCTAAAGCAATGAAAACACTGCCAGATTTCTCTGAAGTTGCTAGTTGCTTAAACCCTATAGCCCTACACCCTTAAACCTGAGCCCTGAGGGTTCCGGCGTGCGGTTGTCGGACTTGTAGGATCTTGAATGGAGGCTTCAGGAATTCCGAGAGGGGAGGTTCAGCACATGCCCCGCCTCATTCCCGAAGTCTCGCACCCACCCGACGCCCCAAAATATCACTTACGCCCAAGACCTAAATCCTGAACCCCAGACCCTATAAACCCAAGACCCTACATGCTAGACCCGAGACCTCAAGCCCTAAACCAAAACCGAGGACCCTGCACACCCTAAGCCCTAAACCTGAAACCCTGAACCCCAAGCCCTGAACCCTAAATCCTGCACCATAAAACCCCGAACCTTAAACCCTGAACCTTAGACCCTGAACCTTAAACCCTGAGCTTTAAACCCCTAAACCCAAAACGCGGTTTCCAACGCAGACCCAGGATCTCAGTCGTGACCGTCGTCGCCACTTCCCAATGCCTCACAGGCTTCTGGCCATAGACCAGATGACGGCTTAGTACTTAGGGTTTAAGGTCTAGAATTTAGAGGGTTTAGGGTTTGGGGGTTTAGGGGTTTAGGCTTTAGGGTTTCGGGGTCTAGGGTTTAGGGGTTTAGGGTTTTAGGGTTTAGGGTTTGGGGGGGTTTAGGGTTTAGGGGGGTAGGGTTTGTAGGGCTTTAAAGTTTACGGTAGTGTGTTTGGATATAGGGCTCCGGAGTGCAGGGTTTCTGGCAATGGACAATCGTGCGGCTTACCTAGACCCTTAAATGTACGACCTTTTAATTTTATTGGACGACTTAGGATCCGGGTCTAGGTAGGGTCTAAGGCCGTGCAGAGTGTCACGTCCCAACCCAAGAATTATTTCTAACTACCCCCTAAGCCCCTAAACCCTCAACATAAGCCCCTAAACGCTGTACCCGAAACCCCTGACCCTCAACCCCTAAACCTCTGAACCCTGAAGCCTAAGCAAGCCCTATAAACTCCCAGCTCAACCAAGCCCCGACCTGGCTGTGGTGTCCATCTTCGTTAGCTCTGTGGCCTCCTCGGAAGGAGCAACTTCGGTCATAGGGACTTTAGGGTTTAGGGTCAGGGCTGTGCGGTTTTAGGGTTCAGGGCTCAAGGTGAAAGAGTTGGGTTTTTTGAGGATTTGAGGGCTTCAGGGCTCAGGGTTTAAGTCTCTGCAATGATTCAGGCAAAGAGAGCTTCACTGTTGAGTTTTGAAGGTCGCTTTGAAAGCCGCGCGGAATGTTGCGGAGACATTGCCACAGGGTTGCCAGGCCTCGGATGAGGGTTCAGGGTTTATGCTTGCCCTTTCTGCCTAAACCCTACCTGGACCCGAAAAGAATGTAGAATAATAGCCTTTTATAGGTTTTGGGCCATTATTCTACGTACTTTGGGGGGTCTAGGTAAACCCTGAGCCGTCTCTTACTGACTTCGTGCGATAGGCTAGTGCGCGGTTGTTCGCGACGGACCCGACCCTGGAATGCCCGCTGACCTGTAGCACCACCCGCACCCGGGAGGTTTCAACCCTAAGCCATGAAGACCAAAGCCAGTGGAACAAATGCAGGAGTCCTAGAGGGTGTAAGGTTCAGGGTTTCAGACTTGCAGCCCAGAGCTGTTTTTATTGCTAGTTGTATAAATCATCTCGGGCTTAGGCAGTAGAACGAGGGATCCGACAGAACTGAGGGTTCTTTAAGCCAACCCCTGCCAAAGAAAAGCAAACCCCAAACCTAACAAAAAACAGGCGCAGCCCAAAAGCCCCAAAACCTCTAAAAGCCGCACAAAACCCTTGTAGTCTTTCACAAAATCCCAAAGCTCGCGTCGGTGCCTTCTCCCCCGGCCTGGGCGGAGAGACACTCACTAGAATTATCTTTACTATTGCTGTGATTAGTAGTATTCTCATTATTCCTACTGCTAAGTATTACAATACACTGTCTCTATTATTGCTAATATTAGTAGTACCCTAATTAATACTACTACTCTACTATCTTCGTTATATTGCTGTTATTAGTAGCATTCTCATGATTACTGTTGCTATCACTACTCCCATTACAATCACAGCCATGATTGCTATTCTGAGTATCACCAGATTCATTGCTACAATTACTGTTGTTACTACTAGTATGACTAGTATTACCGTTGTTTACTGTCTTATGGGTAGTTCTCTAGATTAGATCGCTTTTTTGGCTCATCCAAAATAGAACGGCACCCTTATACACAGGACCCCAAAGGGGACCCTCATTTAGTGACCCACCCTTACACTGTTGACCGGATGGTCTTGGCTTGCTTGATTTCACTGCAGTTTGTCTTTCAATTGAGGGGGGAAGGTCGAGGGGCTGGGTTTTTGGGTGTCGTTTAGAGCTCCTTCTTCCCAATGTCCAGCTTCATCATGTTTCGGGTTTAGGGTTTCGGTTTCTTGCTGTCAGATGTGCTCTTGCAAGTTTGTGTGGCAAGGGCAGTGCTCATTGCTGTTTCTTGTTGCTATTAGCTATTAGCTTTATTACTGCTCTTTATGGGGATGAACAGTGTTATTGCATTTTATACCTTCTTGCTATTATTGGCTGCAACAACAAGCTGAAGATGCAAGGACTCTGAGTCTCACTCATCATCCGCGAATAGATCTCGCCACATCAAGCCTAGCCTTATAAACCCTGAACCCTAACTCCTTAACTAAAACCCCAAAACCTCTAAACCTTCAACCCCTAAAGCCCTCAACCCTAAAACCCTCTAAACCCTAAACCCCTAAAGTCTCCCAAGCTGCAGCCCAAGCCCTCGCTCTCAGAATGCCAGACCCCTGGGGCTTTCAGAGACCAGGAGATCCGAATATAGACCTCAAACCCAAACCGTTAGGAACCTTGCTTCCAGGACCCTATTGTGAGATAACAAAAGCCTTGGAATGAAAAGACCCTTAGGAAACATTATGTACAAACCTAGGTTCAAAACTCATAAAGCCCTTGCACGACCCCCTAAACCCTAAATCCCCAAAAACCCTAAACCCCAAAACCCTAAACCCCAAAACCCTAAACCCCAAAACCCCTAAACCCCAAAACCCTAAACCCTAAAACCCTAAACCCCCAAAACCCTAAACCCCAAAACCCTAAACCCTACAGGTGAAGAGCCCGCTGCGCCGCCTCACGCACGCCTTCTCGCCGGCAGCGTCCGGGATCTGAGAGCCTTCACAGCGCGCCACGCTGAAGCCATACCTTGCTTCGGGGTTTTGGGGGGTTTTGGGTTTAGGGGATCTACCTTATAAGGGATACTACAGTTTCCGAGAATCAGGAGTAATTACCTCATTTTGGGGTCCTTGTAGTAAGGATCGCACTATTTACAGACTTTACATTAGGGTCTTGCTTCGAGGATCATTGGACTTGGTATTAAATGGTTTCTATTGTAATCCCTAAACCCCGCACCCAAAACACCTAACTCCCTAAACCCTATTCGTATCCCCAAACCCTGCAAAATCGCAGGTCACTGTCAGTACTATGTTTATTGTTGTCATTATTCTTGGGGTCTAACTCCCTCAAACAGGCAGGTTTTTGCTTTCCAAAAAGGATAGTAGGGAATGGAGGAATGGGGTACAAGTATAACTACTATTACTACCATTCTTCCATTCCCTACCAACCAAAGGTAAGTAAACCCCAAGAGGTCTTGTAGAAAGCTGGTTTTGAAACCTGTTTGTCCCGTATCCTAACCAGTGTCTTCAAAGTTAACCTATGGCAATTAGGAACTTGAAGGTTGACCTCTTGGACTATATAGGGGTCATAGAACACCAATCACGTTCATGGTTAACGAGGTTAAGAATCTGCAGAAGAACCACCGACCACCCCTGAGAGCGCAAACCTACCTCTGAATCCGGCTGTCCCTCGAAAGCCTGAAAAATCCTTGCAGCCCGAAGCCCCAAACCCTGTTTCGGGGTTCAGGGTTTAGGGGCTTGGGGTTTAGAGTTTGGGGTTTGGAGATGTTTGGAGTTTAGCCCATAAGCCCTTCGAAGCCCCAAGCCAAACGAACTGGAGAAAAGCCCTGCAAAGACCACCTTGCAGTACCCCTATGAGATTCCCACACAAAACCCAAGACCTTTACAGCGGCACTACCGCGTTTAGACCTGAGACTCCGTAACCTGCGAACACAAAAGCCCAAACACTAAACCGTTTATCCTCTAGACCTGAATCTTGAACCTATACCCTCCACCGTTTCTTTAAGGATTCCATTCCCGATGTCCGGGCGACCGAAGGTAGCGGCTACCGGTGCGCTCTTCTGCTGAGGTCTTGCCCAGCAGCTTGAAACCTACTCGGACATTTGGGTCCCTAAACCCTACCTAAAACTACCGAAGGCCGACCTTCTTTGTAGGTTCTTGTTAGAATCACCCTAGTATCGAGAGTATAGGGGTCCGACACGCAAGTAGGTTTTGGTAGTTCAAGATAAGGCCTAATCCCTCAACCCTTTAAGCAGATTTTGACACCGAGTAGCCTGCGCCGATATTGGGGGTTAGGGTTTCAGGTCTTCGGGTTTAGGATTCGAGGTACCAGGCTTATGGTTTATCGCTTTAGGGCTTTCTGGCTTGCGGTTCAAGGCTTGGGGTTGAAGATTTAGAGCTTCAACCCAGAGACTCCAAAACCCCTTATATAACTAAGGAATATACCTTCAAGTAGAATAAGGTATATTCCTTAATGAAGGATTGTTTGGAGTCTCTGGGAAGGTTTCAAGGCTTCGGTCTTTCGGTCTCTGAGGGTGTGGGGTTGTGTCTGTGGGCCTGGAGTTGGGTCAGTGTTGGAGGTGTTTAGGGTTTAGGGTTGAGGGTATGGACAATGGCATCCTGCAGTGGTATGGGAGTTAGGGTCGGGCTGCGTCTGAGGAGGTGCTGGTGAGTTCTGGAGGTCGATGGTTGCTTAAGCATTCGACTCCTGGCGTTTTAGCTATCATGGGCTTCCGAGTGCATTTTTACTATACGGTGTCCCGAAAACCCTTTGCTGGCTTATCAGGTCCCTTACATTACATTATACCCTTGTAGAAACCATATATGAAGCCCTTGTAAAAAAAAACCCTTAAAAAAAGCTCTGTTCTAAGTATTCAAGGAACCCTTGGGTTTTACTTACTGCCAGGAACACCTCACCCCGACATCCTCAATCCTCAGCCCTCAGTACTTAGGGTTTGGGTTTTCTTAGGACCTGGGGTTTAGGGTTTAGGGTTTAGGGCTAAAGATCCTCGAAAGCCAACAGAATTCCACTAGTAACCCTCAAGCTTGGGGCATGTAGAATTTCCGCCCACCGCGAAACCCCCGCCCCCCCTTCTTGACCAAAGCGCATGAAGGCCAGATCGGAGCAACAGCAGCTATAGTAATAAGGAGAATCAGAACCAGCAACTCTTGCTCCGTTTAACAGTGGCGGTTGCAAGACACAGACGCAGAGCTTTGCAAACCATATGTGTATCCAACTGCATAATTTGGGTACTGCCCCCATACAGAATGCAACAGTCTATAATAGGGCTACGATTAAGATCCTGATAAATCTATATCATGGATATTATTCAGCTGTTACTGAGTGGGGAGAGTACCCAATACATTCAGTAAGCTCCAGAAAGTTGGAACATGGATTTAGGATGATTGCTGCGGGGATTCCCTAATTCCCTATACTTTACAGTAAGGTTATGAGGATTATGATGTTCCAACTTTCTGGCTGCTACTATAATTAGTGATGCTGTTCATTCAATTCTTAATGGAAGCCCGAAGCGAAATTCAAGGTCCTAAACACCCGAGCCATGACGCTACTATGGAAGACTGGGGAATTGGAATAGGGCTTTTGTGTGTATCATCGTACGATAATTTGTAGGGCGCAAAGGGCTATCGTGGTATTAATACTTATCCTAAGCCCTCCTTAGAACCACAAAACAAAACCTTTTTGAAATTCTTTTGGGCTTGAATTATACGAACAAAACAAAAAATACTTCCTAAGGAGACTACAGTTATTCGGGCCCGTTGATTAATCATGCCGGGTGCACGGAAAGTAGACGGCTTCTTCTCGTAGGATCGGCTGAGGGCCGCAGCCGCCTGCTCCTGTCTGGCTTTCGTTCGATCGTGCCCCCGGACGTAAGATTTCTAGGACGTAGAGTTTCGACCCATTCTGTGACGATGTGGTCTGGGAAGGGAATTCGGGGACACCAAGTCTCGGGATCTGGGAATGGGAAGGGACTTCAGCAACAAGGTCTCGGGATTGACGATTGGTGACCGTCGCCTCTGAAACCTCGAATGCATGGGCTGCAGATATGGGAGTCATCTCCACTGGTTGAGTGTGGGGGCGGGGGGGGGGGGGGAATGCAGAAACTTAATCTCTTTTATTAGCTGTGCTCCAATACCTTTACGGGCCGAGGGGAGACGATCGAAACCTGTAACCCGTCAACACCCTAAACCTGTTGTACCACAACACTCCTGAACAAACAGCAACTCTTAAACTACAGTTCGGGCTTGACAGCTGGAATGTTTAACGTTTGCCCTCCTCCACACACCGAAAGGCGTGCCTTTGTCATCTTGGGCGACGGGGACAAGAAGAAATCCATCGTCTCTGACTTGCCTTGAGTTTCGGGTTTAGGGTTTAGGGTCTCGGACTTGTCTTGGGAGACTGCCAATGCGAAGGCCGCAAGCTTTTGGTGATTCCCGGGAACTTCACTATTCCTTTGACTTGCCCGCCTTCGAGCCCGGTTAAATGGATAATTCGTAACAACCCCTTGGAGCTTAGTGCTTGCAGTAAAGGTACACAGTTCTAAGAACACTAATGTCAAGAAGCTATGTATCCCTAGCTAGCAGGCGGGGGCGATCGAACCACAGCCCAGCAGAATGGCTTCGAGCGTTTTGTTTCTGCGGCTTTCGGCCAGGCTCCGGGATTTGAAAAGGTTTCGCTTTTTGGGGTGACGCCCTAAAGCCCTAAACCCTAAACCCCTCAACCCTAAACCCGAAGCTATGCTTCCTGCCTATGCTGGGGGCCCTCGCTGCTCCAAGTCGAATGTGAGCCAAGACCGGCGTAACATAGGGGCCTTCACGATTTGAATAGGGTCCCTGTATCAGGGCTTTAGTAAAACGGCCTTAAATAATTAGAGTAGGGTTTCGGGGCATGTTATACTGCAATTATAAGAAGGAACCTCAAAACCCTGTTCGAATTGGGAATCTTGGTGTAAGTTGCATCAAGAGCCGCAGGGATTGGCAATGATACAAGTAGTATAGGGGCCTTAATAATGAGAATAGGGTTTTGGGGCGCATTATACTTTAATCACAGGCAGGAACCCAAAATAGCGTTGGCAATCATTTAGGCACCTATATTAATAGTGTTTCTTTAGGCTTCTATAGTACCGCAATGATGAGACATCCATAACTCCTACATGGCGACTGGGAAACATGCATGGTTATAACGGTGACTTGTTGTGAGTTCCTGATAAAGCTCCGCAACAACTCACTGGCGAGAGCAGCAATGCAAGGGGTAAAATGGCACTGGCAATCGTACCAATAACTATACCAGCGCATTGAGAAAGAGAACTACCAAACTAATTGTAGCCACAGTAGTAAAATGTCAATGCATAACAATCAAAAACTTACAACTTATGGTGATCGAAATCATAAAGAAGAAGAACACTCATTGTAATCATTGTGGCAGCAAGAAGCTAATCACAACAGCAGCGGACCCTTCGCCCAAAAACCCTCATCCCAAAAACCTTCACCCTCAACATTCAAGCCCTATAGATAGAAGCCCTCAAGCCTAAACCCACCAAGACCCCGGCCTGAAACCCCCCGGAAACCCTCGAGCCTAAATCCCCCAAAGAACCCTCAAGCCTAAAGCCATAAAAACCCCTTAAGCTAAAAAAACCCACAAACCCTCAAGCCCAAAACCCCCCGCAACCCTCGAGCCATCAAACCACCCAGAACCCTCAAGCCAAAAACCTCCCACAAACCCTGAAGCCAAAACCCCTTGACGTCCCAATATTAACACGAACCCTTTCCTAAACCCCAATTTTTTTTAACCCCGCGACGATGTTCAGCCGAGGGGCTCTTAACGGGAACCCGCAAGATCTTGATTTCAGACCTTGGCCGCCCCTTAGACCCCTTAAAGGGAACTCCAGAAAGTTGGAATATGGTTTCATGGCAGGATCCCCTATAAATTACCTTACAGGGGCTACGATAATGATATTCCAACTTTCTGGAGTTCCCTGAGCCCTTACCCAAAGGCTCCATAGTAGTTCCTTTTTGGGATTACCTCATGGGATTCTAAGTATGAACCCCAAAAAGGAACTACTATGGAGCCTTAGGGTATAAACGGAATGGGGTATCTTTAGGTATACATGTCATTATATATGGGTTACTAAAGGGTTCTATGATACATTAGAATGTGGTATCCCTATATATGGGAGTCTCCGAATTTTCTTTTTTTGGGTGGTACCTTATTTTGGGGTCCTTATTGTAAGGATCCTACTATGGTCCCCTATTTTCGGAAATTCCCAAACAAAGCTCAGGCGCTGAATACCCTAGCCCAAAAAAAGGTGAACCGTTTCAAATATGGTAGGATTATGTTCGTGGTATGGTCCCTTGATGGGTCCCTACTATCCAGCACCTACTACTTATGGGTACCCTAAAAGCAAACCCTAATTTTGACAACTACCCATATAGGCCCCGCAAGGTTAAGGTCACCCACTCAGCTACTGGGAGAATGAGGTATCTTTAAGGGCTCCTGTAAGGTTTCTACATGTCCTTGTTAAGAAGGGTTTCTATAGGGTTCTATGATCTATGATATATGGTTGGTTGTCAAAATTATGGTCCCTTTATGGGTACCCTAAACAGTAGGTGCCGTATTATTGACCACCACCCCCATATAGAGGCCGTACCTTTTGTAACCAGAATGTGGGCTCCTTTAAGGGATCCTTCCCTGCAGACCTCTGTACATGCGTCAAGTCAGCCGCACCGCCTGGAAGAACAGCCCATGCTTTAGCAGACTCTAGCATTCTCGGAGTTGATTTAAGACTTTCAACTTGGGGCCGCATGACAGTCATGTAGTTCAGAGATGATAGGATAGGAATCCTAAAAACCGTTTGAGCGAACCCATATTATCCCCGAAACAGGCGCTGCGACAAGGCAGCGAAGCGCAAACAAATAGAGCTATCTCCCAAATGCAGACTCCTGATGAATACCTTTAAGGAAAGGAGTAACTGTCTTAGGTTCTTATTACGCGTCAAGTTGAAGACAACCAAAAAACAGCCTTCCACCGCTTGGGGTAGACCAATGTGGGAACCTGAATAGTTCGAATACGGTTTCGGGGCCGAGTATCGTGTACCAAGGAAGACTACTGTTATGTTTATTCTATACTTAGTTTTTGTTAGTAGTACTTATAAGTAAAAACCTCAGTAATGCATGAATTCAGGCTTCTAGAACCATGAGCTTCGGGTTCGGGATTCAAGGCTTCTTGCTAGGGTTTGCGGTGCCGAGCAGCTTTGCAATCGGCCCGCCCGAGAACAGCAAAGACTGAGCCTGTCAGGAGAGCCCTAAAGCCTATATAATCTCTAAACCCTAATGTAGGGTTCCACAAGGGTACTACTGTTGATGATATAAATCCTGCATTACCCTAAGGACCCTAAACTATGGGAATTATGGTATATTCCTTATTATGGGTAATGCAGGATGTATGTCATCAACCGTATAAGGGTTGAATGCCCAGAAAGTTGGAACATGGGTTCAGGATGAATCGTGCTGGGATGCCCTAAACCTTACCTTCAGGGCATGAGGACCATTGATGTTCCAACTTTCTGGCTTCTACCATACATAATCCCTACTGTAAACCCTAATGTCGCCTTAGTAATTAGAATATAGGGTTCATAGGGTTCCTTCACCGGGGGGAACCCGAAAGGGTGCTGTCGGGGTCTAATGTAGGGGCCTTAACAATTGGAGTAGGGTTTGGGGGGGTGCATTTTGGTATAATTATAATAAGGAAACCGAGGGCATGATATTGGTAGTCATCTAGGCTTCTATATTATGATCCCTAAACCCCCAAACCTAAAACGAAGGCTTCAGAGCCTTCAACTGTGGATTCTGGTGATTCTAGGATCCTAATATAGGAACCTGATTAAGAAACTTGGGCCTTTATGAGGGCTCCTTATATGAATCCTACTATTTTGGGGCTATAGGCCCAGGGTTTCTTAATCAGGTTCCTACAGTCTGTCGGGCACACCTACTGTGCGCCCTTATGGCTGCGATGGTTTCTGGGAATCTCGGGACCCAAAACCCTATCTCCGCATTACGACAAGACCGGGCTAAAAGCCAACAGAGCCAGCTGTTTCAAGTCCGGGGCGCATAAACTTCCTTTATAGGCTTTACGATTTAAGTCTTAAGGTTTATGCCGGCGAAAGAGGCCTTTGCGCCGGAGCCGGGCGCCTCCTTCCGCACGGTGATCCAGTCCTCCGCAAGAGATTGGCCAAGTGTTGATAACTGAGTTGTCCTTTAGGCCCATTGAAAATTATTTACTATTACGGTTCTCTACCAAATAGTAGGGGAAATTACAAAAGATCACAAAGGACAACCCAGATAATGATAAGGATGCCACCGAGCTAGGAGCAGAGGAACATGGGTCTTCTCAGAAAAAAGATGGAGCCTCGTCCTATGAATCTACACACTCAACCCCTTTACACTGAACATCCCCGAAACGCCTACTCCTTACACATGAGCTGAAAGTGTAACCCCCTGATAACACCGGTACCAACGATACTTTAAAGCCCTGATTAAACCCGATTACAGGCCTCATACACACCTGATATAACACCCTGTTACACCATGATAAAACAGATTGAGCCAATAGCAAACCAAGCAGACCCGGAAGCCTAAACCCTAAACCCCTAAAGCCTCCCGCAAAGCCAAGTGGCTCGAGGAAGGCGGATTTGCCAGCCGCTCTGAGCCTGTGGAGCGCAGGCGGGAGGGGGGGGGCTCTTGGGTCTAGGGGTTATAGGGCTTATAAGGCTTCTAGGGACAGGGTTCAGGGCTTACCTTAACACTGAAAAACCTATCTTTTTAAGGTTCCTTATTATGACTTCCTTCTATATATATAAGTCCTTAAAAGAAGTAGGTTCTTCAGGGTTACGGTAGGGCTTACAAAGGCTTACGCCCCGAAGCCCTGAAACCCTTGGGCCCTACATCGGTGGTCTGCGGAGAGGGGTTATTGAGGCCCCTACTACTGGGGCCTTGGAGGCAGAATGAACGAGAGGCACCCAACCCAGGCGCACTATTCTTCTCATCATGATTGCTGATCTTGTTGTTATAGTTATTGCTATACTACTATTATTGTTACTACTGTTATTGTCATTATTACGATGAAGGGGAGGCGCAGGATCAGGTCACAACTGCCGCTCCCGGCTTCGGACAATGGCACAGAATGCAAGGAACTCGAGGGAAGGAAGAGAGCTTTCGGGTTTAGGGTGTACGATAGGCACCCGGAACCTAGGAAGCAAAACTTCCAGCCCGAAAGCCCAAAGTCCCTAAACCCTAAGCCCCCAAAGCCCAAAGCCCCGAAGCCCTGCAATTGAGCAACGGGATCGTCCGCGAAGCGGATCAGCTGCGAGAGCTCCTGGAAAGTTTAGGGGGTTTTAGGGCTTTAGAACTGATGTAGGGATTAGGGATGTAGGGATTTAGGGTTTAGGGCTTTAGGGGTCTAGGGTTATTGGGTTTAGGGTTTAGAGATGTAACCCTGAACTTCACACTCGATCCCGACCGAAGCACTAAACTCGAACCTCCGTCGCCGTCTGATTATACGCCCTTCCGCAGGTCCTTCTTAAAACCTGGTGAGAATCGCGAAAGCCCTGGTACAAGCCCATCTCAAAGCCTTGCAAAGCAAATTTTACAACTCAACTTAATCAGAAGCTAAACCCCGAATCCAGAACCCTAACTAAACTTAACCCTGAACCCTCAACCCCAGAACCCTAAACCCTGAACCCTAATCCTGGACCCTAAACAAACTCCTGAACTTAATCAGAAGGAAAGCGCAGCCCCACCTCGCTTGGATCTTTGGCATCCGCTTCTTTCGCGAAAGCGCCCTAAGAAAAGGCAGTTTCCCAAAACTAAAGGTGCCTTACTTTGGGGTCCTAATAATAAGGATCCTACTGTTTGGGTACTATATCAGGGTCAGGTGCGGTTTTCGTTGTCGGGTGTTGTTGACGATCTGAACCTGTATTCAAAGCGTTGCAAAACCCCTGTTTGCAAGGTATATAGGCCGGCGTTCTGACAAGGTTGCCAAGTCTCAACCTCACTGCAGCATCTGCAGTCCCATCTGAGCTAACTACTGTCAGGGTACATAAACCCAAACCCTTTACACCCGAAACTCAGGAGCCCTTCATCCTAAACCCAAGTGGGTAGTTGTCAAAATTAGGGTCCTTTTTTGGGTCCTTATTATAATACGGCACCTAATATTAAGGGTACCCAAAAAGGGACCCTAATTTTGACAACCACCCAAGTCCACCAGAAATCCAAGCCGGGACCCCTGCCTGGGGCCCCGAGAGCACCGCCGCGCCCAGAAGCAGACCCCCACGACCTTCATCCGAAAGCTCAAGGAGTCTATGATCATGGTTGGGATAGTGTACCAAAACCACCTCTATGATCATGGTTGGGATAGTGTGAAAAACCACCGCAAAAATTCTATTCCCATGAAGTATCCATAGAACTGTAAGATGCTTCCCAACTATGACAACAAAGGAGTCGGGCTTCGGCTCAGGAGTTTGCTGCCTTTTTTTGAAGCTGCATTTTATTTTTTTGTTGGGGGGGGGGGGGTCGGGGTTAGCGGCTTCGGGTTCCTGCTTTGGGGCTTCGGGTTTTGCGCCGGGGGCACAGGGGTCTAGGTTCAGGCTTTGGAGTTTCGTTTGGGGTTAGTTAGGGGTTTGGGGGTTTAGGTGCTTAAGGGTTTCTGGGTTTAGGGTTTAGTATTTAGGGGTGAGGGGTTAGGGCCAGAAGGATGCTTTGCTAGTTGCTGCGTATATGCTTTGCAGGTTTAGGATCTAGGGTGTGGGTTGGGTGCGGTTGGGAGAGTGTTGGGAGGGCTTTATTGGTGCTTAGAGCCATACTGAACATAATATCTTCACGAGTCCCGTGGAGCTGTGTCTTAATACCAGGAGGTTATTTCCTGAGAACACTACAGTAATCCGGATTTACAGATGAGGGCAATAGTTTTGCCGTTGGGGTCTGCTCTTGCGCGAGAGCTGCTGGAGCACATGATCTTTGTGGCTCATTCCAAGCTTCTTATTTGGAGGCCTGAACAAGTTGCAATACTATTGTACTTGTAGTATACACAGTCCTCCTCTCGTAGTTTTGGGCCCTGGGGTACCAAGACCTCGCTGGGCTCTTCAGCTTTCTCTTGAACTTCACCCGGGCTTAGGATGGCATGAGGAAAGCCACGTAACGACCCCAATCGCCTCTAGGAACTTAAAAAAACAAAATGCCGCTTGACACATCTGAAATCCCATTGCGAAGCTCTGGCGAATCTGTAAGGCATCATATTCCCCTGACTCGAGGCACCATGGGTTTCTCAGCCTGCAGCCCACTGAACAATCCTGCAATCAAAGCTGGCAGAGACTGAGCTTTTTGATGGGCACTGCGGCTCGTCGACACCGCCAGTCTACAGCTGCCCGATGATGGGAGGCCCAAAGGGGGGTTTCAGATTCTTGGGGTAGGGATTCCTTAATATGAACCCTATTTTGGGAACCCCAATCCCTACTATACCCGCATAGGCCAAAACCCCTTTTGGCCTCCTATGACTCACGGCTTGGAAGCTGCAGGCCGTGACTGCAGGCGTTTGTAGCTTACAATTCCAAGACTCAGGGCGCAGAGCGCGGCAACGCCCACTGCTACCTTTCCTGCTGTGCTCTTCGTCAGACCAGTAATCTTCCCCATCATCTGCTTCTTGAAGTAGCCGGACCGCATCTTATAGAAAGCTCCTAAGGCATCATAGGCTTCGTGGTGCATCTCAACGACAATGGGGCGCACATCCTTTACCGCTTGAAGCGGTCGGGGAAACTGCACGAAGACACGCTGTTGAGCTTCAAGTGCCAGGGTTACATCAAGGGTCAGGCCAGAACTGCTGATGTCCATCAAGACAGCCTTGACGGCTGAAGTTAGCTTCGCATAGTGCTTGGCATACACCAGCAGGGAATCTCCGTGGTCATCGTTCATGTGATGAATCATCCGGTCTTTATGCGCTTTCAGCTGCTCGTCAACGTCAGAGCTCGCTTCCGCCATCCCACGCAAACATGCGCAACCGGGGCAGACATGCACACCTTGACGAAGAACGGCTCCCGAAAGATTTGAGTTTAGGAATTGAGAGTTTTAATACTTTAAGGCTGTAGGCATAGCGTTTAGGCTGATCGTATGCCAAACTCCAGCCTCTATACTTCTGGAACTGACGCATCGAAGAACTAGACATAACAAGAGTCCAAATTTACGGTTTAGGGCACAGAGCGTAGCACCTTTGCTGCCATTAATCGGCGGTACGACTCGGGACCCAGGTACTATTCTCCATAATTAAGGTGATGTGCGTGTCTGTGTCTGCCACCCAAGACCCAGCGCAAGCTACTCAAAACCTTCCGACTTGGGAGTTTCCGAAAACAGCGGACCCTCATATAGCACCCTAAAAAGTAGATCATGTAGGATCCTAATTGCAAGGACCCCCCAAAAAGGTACCCCTAATATTCGGAAACTCCGACTTGAGGATTTGGAGCCTTAAGGGCTTACTTTTCGGGTGTTTGGTGTCAAAAGAGTTTAGGCTTTAAGGGTTTAGGGACCCGGGATGGCAGTACGGGTTTAGGAATGTAGGTCATTCAGGGTAGGAGTTGGGGCTCTATGGGGGCTATAGGGATTAGGAGTCCGGGCTTAAGACCAGACTTCTGAAGGGCTTGACAAACACCTCATTCAAGCCGAAAGCCCTAAGCTCTAAACCCTGAGTCCTAAACTATCCTCAACCCTTACCCAGAGAGCCCAATACCACTTAATTAAGGAACATACCTTAAATCATAATTTGAACGCCCTTATAATTTAAGGTATATTCCTTAATTAAGGGGTATTGGGCTCTCTGGGTAACCCTCAAGACTTGGAACCCGCACGCGTCAGGGGCAGCGACAGCCACGCCGGGCGCGCCTTTCTCTTCAGCAGGGAGGTACTACTCAGCAAGCATCTCTACATAAGTTATGACAATGATAATCAAGTTGAACTAGCAAAGGGAACAGCAATAGCGACAGCAACGTCAATGGTATTAGTAGTTAGTTTTGCGGCAGTAGTATCAGAAAAAGCAGTTGGTCATAGTCGCGTGTTTGCTTAACTGTTATACATAGTAGGTATGAGCTACTAATTAGGTATCAGGTCATCGATAACAAGTAACAGCAGTAGCAACCACGACAATCAATAGCGTGGAAATAGCTATGACAACAACAAAGCAAAATGGTGATGCCATCACTGAAACAATATGGGGAACAATGATAGTCGCAGAAACGGTATTCGCACCCGCAATCGTAACAAGGAAAACTCTTTTTGATTACTTCTCCTGCAGCTCTGAATTCCATGCCAAATGCTGCGTCGGGCAGTACCTCCTTGGGAGAGCCGAAGCAGCAAACACAGTCCGAATATGGCTTCGGGTACCGCTTAGGATTTAGGCTAGGGTATGGGGGTTGGGTGTGTGGGGTGTCATGCAACACAAGCATGGAAGCAGAAGCCGTGTAGAACCCTAAACCCTAAACTGTACAGAGCCCTATAGAAAACTACATGAGAGGCGGTTCGCGGATGAGGGTGCGCTGTCCTGGGTTTGGAGGTCACCGGAGTTGAAGTTTGGGTTCAAGGGTGACTTACCCGCATTGTAACCGGACCCCGAAACAGCAGGAGTTTCGGGGAAGGTGTCCATTCATCTGTGCAATCCTTCGCAGTGTCTGGGTTGTACGTCAAAGTTGCATACTATAGGGGCCCCAATAATTGGAATAGTGTTTTGGGGCCATTATACTATACTTATAATAAGGAACCCTAGGAATAGTATTGGTGAGGCCCCTATAGCAATGCTTGGAAGCTTCGGGCTTGGATGACCAGGACTCCCGGCTGTCATATCCTACGCAACTGCTTCGATGTAAAGTACGTACCGTTGACAGCCGAGCGGTCTGTCACGTACTTCCTAGACTCCCGGACGGTGGGTCACTGCATTGTGCTAAACATCACGACATATTGCCATCTCGCAACTGACCACGAGCTGCTGCTACATGCTCACAAATATCACAGCCATCCCGACCACCGCCATGACCACCGCATGCATAATCATCATGATGGTGAAGATGATACTCATCATCATCGGCAGCATAATGTTCGTCATCATCATCGTCGTCATCATCATCATCATCATCACCATCACCGTCGTCTGTAGCGGCGGCAGCAACAATGACATCATGATCACCGAAACATCATCATCACCATCAGCGTCACCAACATGTTAAACAATAGCAGAAGCAACATCAGTATGCCCACAAGAACGACAGCAGTGACGATGAAACAAACAACAACATCCTCTTCGCGGCCACCCTACGAAACCGTTATCATCACTCAGTCCCTCAGCAGAATCGACAGCAACGACCACGGCGACGCCGACGACCACGACATCAAAAACATCATATCCACAGAACAGGAGTGCAGCTTTAGCTGAGGCACCGCCGAGAAAAGCAGCAGCCCTAGCGCAAGGTGCCACCTAGCCCGGCGCATGGCTTGCGTCGGGAGTGCTCGCTTTGACGGCAAGAAAAGCGCTGCGGAAAATTGCGAGTGCATGTTGGGTTAGTACGAAGTCTGGTGCCGCGGACTTTATAATTGGAGGTGTGCTTGGTTGGCCAGAAGCCCTGCATCAAGAACACACTGAATGTTGTAGTTGTTCTATCAGTAACTGCGGGCAGCATGCAAGCCTCAGTTTCATGACAATCACCATGCAGGTTGGCGATATATGTAGGGCAAGTGCAGCCAGGTGATGGGTGTGCTTCTTTGGCGTGCAGGGGGGCAGGAAGCTGAGGGTTTGAGCAAGGATGCACATCATCAGACCGCAAAAGTCCAAGCCCTAAGCTACAAACTTCAGCCTACCCCTTTCCTAACCCTGAAGCCCAACACCTTGGCCGTAGAGAAAGACCTTCAGTTCAAATGCGAGAATGAGGCATGCGCAAGTCTCCATACCCAAGCCCGAAAACAAAGATGCTTGAACTCATAGGCCCCATATAGCAGTACCTTTTTGGGCTTCCCTTTTGGGATTCTATATATGAGCCCCCAACAAGGAACTTCTATGGGGCCTTATGGGTAGTAGGTGGAGCTGAGGGCGAGCTCAAGCAGAAGCAGCTCGCTGCTTCGGCCCTACATTGACGGTAACGGTCCTCATGTGTCCGGTGCTTAGTAGGGAGTGGGGGAGTGTGGGTTATGGGGACTACTATAGGGGATTATACTTGGCAGACTTCTGAACCCCTCCTACAAGTTAAACTTTTTGCCTCCTTATTATAGTTCATATAGAAACCCAAAAAGTTAAAGTCTAAAGAGCCAGCCAGAAGAACGCCAAGTATATATAGGGACTACGAAAGGGAGCCATTCCCCCATTCCCGACATTAATTGAAACGGTCCGCAGGGTGAGGCTGATGACACGGCACGCCCATCCCAAGCGATCATCTTGCAGGGTTTCCACATGTGGGGGTTTTGCGAAAACACCCCTCGTCAAGGATACAAGAAGTTCGTAAACCCCCCCAACTGGGACCCGAAGTCTGGGCCACTAAACCCGTGGACCGAACTCCTGAACCCCCCCGCAAGGCCTGTAGGAGTTGGGGTTTAGGGTAGGTTTGAGCCAATTTAATGTTTACGGCACCTCGGGGACAAGCCTGTTTTAGAACTCCTCCGGATTCATTTTTCCTTTGCGTCGCATCCTCCAGTGCACGCCAGACATAGTCCGTCAGTTCCCGCACCGAGGGATGGTCGAAACTTAGCAGGTAGGTCGGGTTTACAGCTTCAGAGTTTTTGGTTTTTAGTGCTTAGGCAATCTGAGGCATCGCAGCAAGGCGAATTAGGGTTCAGGATATGGAGCTACTGTGCCTATGGCTTCAGGGTTTGGGGATTGGCTTGGGCGGGTCGGGTTTGCAAGTGCAGGACTTTAAGCCTTTCCGCACACTTCCCGGAGTCGTACAATCCTATGGCTTAGACCTCTAAAGCCCAAAGACCCTAAACCCCGCAATGAACTACGGAGCCCTTTTGTTTGTAGGATCCCTTTAAATCTATATCGGGGTTTATAGGAAGAACCTGCAAGAAGCTAGGTTTAAGGTACAGAGTGAGGGTTTCAGATGTCTGGGTTTGAGGCTTGAGGGTTTCCGGTTACAGGAGGCACATTTTCCGAAGTACCCTGCTTTGCTTCTTTCACGCATTGTCTGTGTGCCTGTGTGTATGTAGGTATGTATGTATGTTTATCTGTAGATTTATATATTATATTACACATATTTACTTCCCTGTTTGTTTACTTGTATATTATGTGTGTATGTGCGCGCGCACCTGTGTCAAAAGGCCTACACCATCAGTCGATAACTGTGAAACCCCCACCCGTGAGCATAGATGGCCTTATAGAAGACTTTAGGAGTTGCAGAAGCCCTGTAATTATGCGGGTTTCCGAAAATGAGGGGTACCTTGTTCTGGGGTCGTTATAATGAGGATCGCCTGCTATTTAGGGTGCTATATTAGGGTCCCCTACTGTCGGAAACCACGGTATAGAAACCCTCCAACTCAAGGTTTGGGACGGCGCTTTGGGTTCCTTGAGGCCCGTGCAGGAGGGTGCCCGGGAGTTGCACACCGAAGTTGGCTTGGAGCTGGTTTCCTGGGCAGTGCTTTCCCGTTCTACTTTAGTCAAAAACAAAACTCCTCTGTCTTTAGGTGTGTCAACGTTGGGCTCTCTCTACCCACGTACGTATACATACATACACACATACATACATATATACACACATACATACGGAGACAGAGACTGAGACACTGACAGGCAGACAGACAGACAGACAGACAGACAGACAGACAGACAGACAGACAGACAGACAGACAGACAAACAGAGAGACAGAGACAGAGACAGAGACAGAGACAGAGACAGAGACAGAGACAGACAGAGAGGCCGAGACAGACAAAGACACAGAGACATGCATATAATATGACACAAAAACAAACTTAACTGAACACATAAAGAATAGATCGTCAGTGGAATGCACACTACACCAGGTGCCCATAGAAACACATTCTTGAATAGTCCTTCTGACTCTTTAGCCGGTTGTACTATAGCATACCCCTCCCCGAACACATTCAAAATATTAAGGCCCCTGTACAATTAGTGCCCCTCAATTACTATGGATCCCTCCAGGCTCCTACATACTCAGTGCGATTTCAGGGTGGCTTGAATCTGCACCTGAGCTTGGGGTCTGCGAGATAGGTTTAAGACAACGCAGGCGACGATGTTGGCGGTGATGTTGCTTTTGCTGATGATGACAGAAGTGGGTGTTCAAAGCCTTCTATATGGCTTTGCACGGAGCTGCCTTGATCATTACTATACGGGCCTTAATATTTAGAATAGGGTTTTGGGGCCCATTCTACTGTAACTATAATAAGGAACCCTAGGAGTAATATTGGTAATTACTTAGGCCCCTATACTAGTCTATGACTTCGGGAATGGCTGAACACATGCGGCGCGGAAGAGGTCTCGGGGAGCCCTCGCCACATGCCAACGCAGTAGAAAGATCCTTGCAGCTCCGGTGCCTGTCCCAAACACTCACCACAAGCCAACCCTAACCCCTACACCTGTTACTCGTTGCGGGTTTAAGGTTGCCACATTGCCCTAAAACCTAGACCTAAACCCTTCAAAGACGTATATAAAGCGGTTCAGGGTTTAGGGTTCAGAAACACGGAAGTCAAAACCAGCAACTACCGCACGGCGAGCATCGCAGCTGCACAGCCGCGAGGCTGTCCATCCCGCTCCTAAGCACTCCCATCTACGCTTGAAGGGAGTCGCAAATCTTTGGATTTGGCTAGGGGTTTTGAAGGGTGTTGTAGGATCTGTCGTTATAGGGGACGAGATTGAAAGATGATCAGTGCTCTATGGTTGTCTAGTTGCAGAGGCAAGGGCTTATCGGGACACAACGGGTTGTTGTGCAGTTGGGGTTGACGGTCCACGCTTCAGGGGCTACCTAGACTAGTGACTAGGGTGTTTTGGTGGGGTCTTTTGGGCTTATAAGATCCCACAGGGTTTGGCAAAAGATCTTAACAAGTAGAACCAGGCTTCGGCAAATGGAGGAGGGCCTCAATAAGTACACTGGGGTCTAAAAGGGCCGTGGTAATGCTATGGGGTTTTTATTCCCTTGTATTCATTCTTTGAGAAAACCGTAAGTTACCCCCAAAACCCTGCTCGACTACTGTAAGTTCTCCCAAAACCCTGCTCGACTACTATAAGTTCTCCCAAAACCCTGCTCGACTACGATAAGTTCTCCCAAAACCGTGTTCACAGTACTAGGAATCCCCCCATACCACTTACACAAACAATTCCTGACTCTTCGAGCCTAGGGCATCATGCTCAAGCTACAAGTCTCTGCCGTGGCAGTTGGGCTCAGGAATGCTTTAGGTAATTCGCTCAATGAGAAGCCTTCTTAGGGTCCTTGTAAAGGGCGCGATGATATGTTGGGACCGAACAGGGGCGTCTAATCTAGAGAGCTACCCGCTTATGAGTCTAGCACGTTTTGCTTTGGCATGTGCGCTTCGAGGTTTATTGTTAAGGATCTGAGGTTTACCTGTGTCCTTTCAATTGCCGAGCCTGGCAACAGCCCCCGCATAGAGGACCCTCTACAACCAAAAAAAGATGGACGCGTGGCTGTACATCAACCTTAGGGACCAAGAAAGAGGACTCAGGCCGTTCTGGACAATAGCCCTGAACCCTAAGGTTTAAACCTTTCAGGATTTGGTGGTTTTCTTCTGTGCGGCAAAGCGGCAAACTGCCAAATGTTTCAAGACTCGGTTCTGCAAAGCCCAACATCGTTTTCAAAAGCTGCAGGTTGTAAACTGGTCTGATTTCCGTAAAGCCAAGAGCTTGTCCCGAGTAGTGTTGCCTGCGGTGTTACATGGGGTGGAGCTTACGCACATATCGGCCTCTTCGTACAAGCTCCTCAGAGGTCGGAGCTCAGCTGCATTGTGGGGTGTTGGGAATTGTCGTGACCATTATCTCGCTCCCTTGTTATCGAGTGATGATGTCTATGAACCCTTTCTGGCTGTGTTTACAAGGCGTTGGAAAACATTGCAGAAGATGCTCCGCAGGTACCCGGATGCCACCATGAAACAGTGGAACACAGTCTTTTCTGCGAACACCAGGCTGCTGGTTGGGCCTATTACATATTTTTTGGAACAGCTTCGTCAAATTGGGTGGTCTCCGCTTGCGGATGCGACGGTTGTGGATCACAACGGTGTTTGTTGGGATATTGTGTGTAACTCGATTACGAACATTGAGGTGTCCTTGCAAGACGCGTGGGTGTTGTCCATCATTCCTTTGATTCGTGATGACATTCAGTTTCAAAGTCTTACATCTTCTTCTGTTGAAAGGTGTCGTGCTATGTTGGGGGGTTCAAAGCACTACAACACATGTCAGGCCAATTATTCAGTTGGGGCAATCCGGTCTACATCTGTTAAATCGAAGTTCCTGGATTTGGAAAGCGCTTTATGTCCGATTTGCAAACAACCTGGCGATGCTAAGCATATTCTTTATGAGTGTCCTGCTACGCGTTCAATACGCGACGAGGTTGACATTCGCGGGTTGGATTCGTTACCAAATGCTGTTAGGGTTTCCGGCTTGTTTCCAGTGCCCGATGCGCAGGTTCTGCATTTCCGGATGCTAAATACACTTCCAGATACTCCGCGGTCCACTGTCATTAATGCTGAGGCTGAGGTGCATTTGTTCACGGATGAGTCCACAGAGTATGGTAAGACACGTGTTTTGTCCTTCAGTTCTTGGTCTTTGATGTCGGCTACCCTTGGTAAGCGTGATTCTGTGTGTATTGCATCTGGTTGCCTCCCAGGGTCGTGCAAACGACCAATCGCGCGGAGCTGTACGCGATTTGTCAAGCTTTACTCGTTGCAAGGAGTGGTCATCTATATACCGACAGCAAGTATTGCGTCGATGGGTTTCGGAAGTTGCAACTTTCTGGTTGGGTTGAAAATGATTGGGTGCGTTCTGAGAATTATGGTTTGTGGAAGCGTGCTTGGAGTGCATTGCGCAGTGCCCCAAATCGTTGGCAGATTTGGAAGGTCAAAAGAAATTTGGCGTATTGAGGAGGCATCGTCAGACCATGATGCGTGGTGCATTTTTCACAATGATGCGGCTGATAAGAAGGCCAAACAAGCAAACCGTGAAAGGAGTGAGAGATTCAAGCAGAACCATGCTCAGCTGTTGTCTGCGTACAATACTGACTCTGGTCTTCGTGAGAAGCTTTGTGCTTTACTGCAGCCGGTCTCGCAACAAGCGCGTTTGAGTGCAAACATCCCGGTCAAATCTGGAGTTGATGTAGCAGAAGACCTCTGGAGCCGTCAGTTGGAATGGCTTCGAATGATGCAAGAAGATCTCTGCATTGATATCCCTAGGGCACATGTCCCTTTACCAACCGATGGGTTTGTCATGCATTCGCCGTTTGCAACATTATTGTGGAGTTTCATGGTGCAAAAAAGATGGGTGCCTGACTGCAATGGGTTTCTGTTTATGAGTTGTATTTCATGTTTACAAGACAAACAGGTTGGACAGTTCCAATCAACATCACTGGTTTTTCACAGCAAGCCAGACCAGTGAAGTTGCGATCCCGAACTGCTCGGGTGTGCTGGGCACATGAATCTGATTGGCAAGAGTTATCCTTGAGTAGGCAACCGCTAAACAAGCAGTGTAAAGTCTTTTTACATATTCCCCGTGAAATCTTTAAGAGGGTTGAAGTGCCGTGGGAGATATCCCCAAGGCGCGCACTCCGCTGTTTAGGGGCCAATTTCCCCGTGCAATCTTTATGCATGAGGCCTGTGGCGTCCTGTGATAGTGTTTCAATTCGGGCGTTACAGTCATTTCAGGCTGGTGCACCATTTCGGAAGGCTCTTGGTAGGGTTTATTCGCCAAGGGCACTGCGCGTGCCTAGTCCTTGTATGTTAGAGGATTTTGATGTGCTCTGGAGACAGTACAGATCTCTTTAGATCCTTTGAGCCGTCATGCCTTATGTAGTTGATCCACATGTGATTCGCTTCTGGATTGTCCCAAGACTGCCTGCATAAACCCTAAACACCAAAACCAAACTCTAAACTCTGAACTCCAAACCCTAAATCCGAAACTTCCCCGAAACCCTGGACCCCAAAACCGGTACACCCCTAAAACCCTAAAACCCAAGAAGCAAAGCAGAAGCTGAGACCCCGGACTCTGTCAGAGGCGTCTCGAGCTCAAACTCTCCCTCAGAGAAAATCGAACGGGGCTCGGAACAAGCTCAGGGTCTCGAGCTGAGGGCTTTAGCGTTTAGGGCTTTAGGGTCTAGGGTTTTAGGGTTTTGAGGGTGTAGGTTGTATCGGTCGGACTAAGTAATGCAGTATGGTCCCGGTACAGTTCCTCAACTAGCTACGGTATAACATTTCCCCTGGCCTTGATCTACGTAGTTTAGCACGGGTGGAGCTTATACACTGATGGTTTTGTTGATGTTGGGAGAAGGGCGGTGGGGTTTGTAACGACGATGCCGGGGTTCGGCCTGTGTTTATTGCATCCTCTGAGTGATTCTGGGGTTGGGGGGTCTTTAATTAGGGTTTACCTTTAGCTAGACCTCACTAATCCAATAACCGGGCCCACAAAAGTTCGATCTTAGACCATACATATAATGAGGCCAACGAGTTTCAAATTCCCCCATTGGCTACATAAGAGGCGGGCTCAGAGAAGTTGTGTTCTGAGGTTCATGCTCTTATACTGCAAAAGCCATGCGGCATAATTCTCCTATAATTCATCATTAGACTATGGTGTTGTGGTATAGTATACTGTCATTTGTAGTTGGAATACCGTTTTGGCAGATAGTACACTATAATTATGAAACCGAACTCCAAAACTAGTATTGGCAATGATTTACGCCCCACAGTACTACCTTCCTTCAACCTGACAGTGGGCCACTCTCAAATCTCCATTTACTGTTGATTCAATGAAGATAGTTTAGAAAGGGCCCCCCACCCTGTAATAGTGGTACAAAAGGAATATAATGGGGCCCTAATATAATCTTTTTGGTCGCTATTACAGGGGGGGCCCTTCTAAAAGAGAGTTATGTTCCCCCCCCTACTTCCGGACATCCTCAGAGTCGAAATCCCTACACGAAAGCCCAAAGCCCTAAGACTTCAACCCTGAAACCCTAAAGCCCCAGACCCGAAGGAAGAGTGCTGCCTAAGGATTCATCCCCTTCCCCGCTAGCAATGACTCCAGATGCATTTCAAGACACAAAGCCCGAACAAGGAAAACCACTAAACTGAAGATACCGGAGCGTTACTAGATTCCAAGCCCCTATGTTTAACGTTTCTTCGGCTGCATACCCCAAACCCTCAAAAGCCTAAACCCCTTAAACTTCTTCTTCACTTCGTTGCGTAGAGGTGCTAGTCCTGTGCAAAGTAAGACGGTCCCAAAAGCGACACAGTCGCGGACCTGGAAAAGCGGGAACTTACAGCCCTAAATGCAAGGTGAGACAGCGGCAGACCAAGGGAAGCAACCAAGCGCTAACCCAAGGCCTGCAAAATCAGCTGCAGGGAAGCTGGTGGGGCATTGCCAATCGCCGAGGGCGAGCCCGCGACAGAAGGCCAGAGGCAACCGCGGACAAGGCACGAGGGGCGACAGCCGGCAGACAGACAATAGTGCCGAAGCCCAGCACATCAACAGCAGAAGTGCCAACAGCAGAGGGTACCACCTTGTTCGCCAAATCCCAGAAGGCTGCAGGCAAGGGCTGTGCGCTCCACAACGCGGCACCACGGCGCAGCAGGCCAAACAGGTGAAGGCAAGTGAGAAGCCGCCGCAACAAGAGGATGCGCTTGGAGGCGACCTGGCCAAAATCCACAAGGGTGCCTTGCGCCGGGCCAGAAGGGGGGTGCTCCTCGCGGCGGAGGAAGGCCGAGAGTCGCCACACAGACAAGGACCAAGGGTGCTGCGTATCGAGTGCCAGAAAGAACTTCCAACACCGTGCCCAACTGAGGGGAAGGCACCACAACGCCGGTGGCATCCAGTGCCACCGACAGGACGGAACATCAAGGGAATCATCCCGAGGGTCTTCATGAAGAAAGTACACCTCATCGTGCGCAACCCCTGGCGAGTCCAGCCCAGGAGCGTCAGGGGGGCGGAGCTGGGGGGAGGGCCGGGAGCGAGGGCCCGCAGGTACATCTTCAGCAAGACGGTCAGAGACCTCAGCCTGCTGCGGCACAAGGTGGGCTGGTGGAACCGCCTCGGGAGAGCAAGGGACATGGCACGGCGGAACGGCAACCAGACGGCGAAAGGGCACAACTGGGGCAGAACGTGCCCCGTCAGAAAAGCTCGGTCCCGGTGCCAGTGCTTGGAGCTCAGCCGCGAGTTCTCCGGCAGTGCAAACACGCCCTTCCTCAGCCGCAAGACGCTGAGCACTAGTAGCGTTACGGGGGCCAGCAACTTGGAAAACAGGTGCCCTGGCATGCCCCTGTTTACCCCTGCGCTTGGTGCCCGTCCCATATTCGTAGACAGGGCCGACGCGGCATCGAAGCCCGTGCTCACAGTCAGGTGAGTGCAAAAGGTGATAACGGAGCCGAGCCGCGTTATGAAATTCATTGAGGCACCAGAGGCAGACAGTACCCAAGGTGTACTGAGTGCACAAGGCCACCCGGCCATGCATCCTGTGGGCATGGGCTGCGAGGGCATGAGCCGATGGGAGGGTGAGGCCACACTCCGCGCAGACGTGTGGCGAGGCAAGACCAATGACCTTCCGCGGAGGTGCAGTATCCTTGCTGCGCCAAGCTCTATGAAGAGCCAAAAGCATGGTGCCAGACTGACTAATGCGACGACAAGCAGCCAGAAGTTCCTTGGAGTGTCGGCGGACAGCCATGAGAGTGGGCTCACCAACCGCCAGCGCAGGCAAGCGGCACGCCGGCCAAACACGGCGGACGGCCTCCGCGATGAGGGAGGACCACTCACATCCGCGGTCCCAACCGGCCTGAAACAGGTCAAGGACCTCTTGCGACCTGCCCGAAACAATACGACAGAGGAGGCGGACTCGGGCGATCACGGAGGCGCATTCAAAGTCCAAGATACCAGTGCAAGCCCGGAGTTGGACCGAGGCCACATGGTGGCCGGCATCCCACGCCCCCACGAGCTGTCGAAGGCATTTGTCAAGAAAGCCCTGCAACGGTCCCCATGCGCGCTCGGAGCGAGCAAGAGTGGTGGCCAAGGAAGAGTAGGCAGCCGGAAGGGTGCGGCCTTGCAGCCAGACGGCCTTTAAAGTCCACGGCAGTGTAGTGGAATGGATCAGCCCAGCAGCCTGAGTCCAAATGGCATTACCTCGGGCAGCGGCTGCTTCGATGTCGCGCCTCCCGGTATCACGACAACGTTGGATAACCCCGAGGTACTTGTATTCGGGCACAATCCGGATGCAACGCCCATCCGGCAGGGTGAGCAGGGGCTCGGGTGCGAGAAGTTCCTGGCGTGCAGCATTCGCACCCGCTCCCTGTAGGTGAACGAGCGCCTCAGACTTGCCCGCACCTAGATTGACACGGAAGCGGAAGGCCTCGAAAACCTGCAAGACAATCACACATAGACGACGCAGCTTGGCAGGGGCCCAAGTTGCCTTCAGGAAATCGATCAACAGGCAGAGATCATCGGCCCATGCAATTTGTATCGAAGCATCCGGGCTGCCTAGGGCGTCAGCAGAGGATGCGTGGACAATATCCTCAGCTTGCAATGCATGGTGCAGGCACTGGAGGATAACGGCAAACAGCGCCCCGAAAAGCACATCGGCCAAGCCGTCCCCCGGTCGTGAGCCTCGGCCAGCCATGATAGCCTGGGACTGTCCAACCAACCTCCAGTAGGAGCACTCAACACAGTCCCGAAGCAGAGCAACCTGGTCGCTAGGGATGCCCAACCCAGCTAAGACCCCATCCCTAATCAGGCCGGAGACATGGCTGGGCAGTAACAGACCTCGGAGCGCATGATCAAGATCTCTCCCCTTAAACAGCAGATCACGATCCGCCTCGTAGTAAGCGGCTTGAATGTCAACAAACAGGGCAGCCCACGATCGCCCACGAAAGGTAGCCAAGTCGACAGCCGACCGAAACGCAGTGAGGGCTAGCCCAGTATCAACGCCACGCCGGCCTCCTAATTGAGTAGGAAAGTAGTGGGCTATAATAGTCTGGCCCAACGTGGTACGAAGCTGAGAATGCCACAACTTGGCAACCCCATTAAGCATGGCGATGGAGCGAAAGTTGGCAGGCAGGTAGGCTGGTCCCTTCTTGTGCAAGGCGCCGACAATCGACGCTTTGAAGTGCAGGGGCTCCGCCTCTCCCCAAGCAAGGTGGAGCCATAGGGGCCAGAGCCAACGTCCAGCCTTATCAGGGCATGCCTTCCAGACCTCATTCCGAATGTGGTCAGGCCCTGGCGCCTTCCCACGCTTCTGCAGGCGGCACATATGCTCGACTTCGAGAAGCGTAGGGATCGCAAGAAGACACGTTTCTCTGGGGGCAGCCGCCCAGCTAGAGAAGGCCGCACGAAGCTGGCTCTCGGACACGGGTCGGCCTGCCTCTTGCTGTTGAAACTGCAGTTGGAGTTGTTCATCGATGTCGAAGCCACTGGCAGCACGGACGTCCCTCTTCTGCTTAGCCCCCTTCGATGCCCACGAGAGCTTGGCGACAGCCTCCAAAGGGCGCCCCGTGGCATGCCAATGATCAACCGCCCCGGAAAGCAAGGACTCAAAATACATCCGCTTATCCTGCCTTGCCTGTGAATGTGCTTGAGCCCGGAGGCGAAAGCAGACTTGCGCAAAGTGGGCGTGTAGCATACGCACCTGGTGACGCTCCCAAGGCAGGGCAGGCGAGAGCATTCGGCGTTGGCCCCAGGCGCGGAAGGTAAGAAGACACAGTTGCCGTTGTTGAAGAGCAGTGAGCCGCCGCAGCTCAGCACGGGTGTCGCGAAGGGTAGACAGGAGACCTTCAGCAACGTCGGAAATGTAAGGTTGGCGGCGGTGCAAGGGAGGACGAGCGGGTAACCGCTGCACTGCTTGCGAGTGCGCTTCACAAAGTCGCTGCACTCTAAGGGCACCAGGGCCCTGACATTCGGTCATATGCGACCATAAGTCTTGCGCAACCAGATCCCCGCATGCGGCTGGGTAGGGGCAGCGCGGGTGAACCTTACTGGCAGTCCGACCCCGAATGTCAACCTCCGCAACAATAGGCATGTGGTCTCGGGTCTCACCGTTGAGGATATCAAAGTCCGGGAACTGACGGTAATTACTCACTTTCGTACCACACGTGACAAGGAGATGATCAAGACGCTGGGTTTTTCCTCCTGTGTGTTGCCATGTCCAGACCTGGCCTGAATTGATGTCAGACCACGTACCGGGTGCTGCCAGGGCCGCATCATGGACACAGGCCAAGAGAAGATCATCCCCGAGTTTAGCCGGACGAAGGGAGAGGAGCTCGCCCACAAGGGTCTCCTCCTCATCTCTGCCGACAAAGTCCGCATTGGCGTCGATACCCAGGAGAACAACGCCTCGGTTACAAGCCGGAAGAAGCTGGGAGCGAAGGTCTTGCCAGAAACGACGGATTTCAGCGTCAGGACGCTCGGCATGCGGGGCATGCGCCGCAACCAGGGTCACCGGGAACTCGGCTCGCTGACACTGGACCAGGAGCATCCGAGGGCATGAAAAGCGGATGCGAAAGTCGTCAAGGCTCAATGCAGGCTGGAGTAAGTCCGGGCGGACCCAAATCTCAACACCAAATAGACCTTTTTCAGCACCAGATCGGAAGCTCAAAAATCCATGGGACGCCCAGCGGCCGGGACGGCTTCGGCACTCCTGAAGAAAGGCAACATGGACCCCCAGCGAACTCAGCTGTTTAGCGAGATAAATGCGCCTTTGCCCGTGCCCCTCCCGATTAAAGAAGGACACGTCCACATCCTTAATGGTCTGGATGTTAGCCTGCACAATCCTGGTACATGTGCAGCGCGGCTGCGCTGGCGGCTCCGCCAACCCACCGGCAGGGCGGGCATCGTGAGGGCCTTGGTGACATGGCCGCGGGGCGTCCTGCCACCCCGGGGAGCACCAACAGAGCCGATCATTGACAAGCTGGGCTCGTGGCAGAAGCCACAGCAGCGGCGCGCAGGATAGGAGAGTCCTACCAAACTCCGGTGGGAGGCGGCACCAGCCTGTTGAAGCACACCGTGGATAGGCACTGCCGTAACCTGCCAAGACATCAGCGACCTCATTCACGAGGTAGCCCACGTGACCGGGCACGTGTCGGAAGTGAGTAGTGCACCGAGACTGAACTGCCTGCCAGAGCGCTCGGCACAGCAAGGCATGAGGCATCGAGGCATCCGCATGCCCACCTGCGACCTGAAGGGCAGCGCTATTGTCAACTGCGACAGTGACCTTAGGCGGTGCCGTGCCCGTGAAAAGGAACAGATTGTCCCACCACGCAGTAAACCAAGCGGCCGCAGACAACAGGGCGCTGAGCTCGCCAAAGTAGGAGCGCAAGTCGGTCTGTTCACACGGGTAATTCGGTAGCCAAGGTGTGGAGAGGAGGTCGCCGGCATCCCAGCCTAGGCGAAACCAGGCGCCGCGCCACAACACCCAAACGGCGAATCCCCAACCACCCATGTGCATTCCACTGCCATCGGTAGCAATTAGGACCTCATCAGGGACCCCGCCAGGCCAGGCCGGAAACCCTCGCCATCCAGCCTGGTGAAGAGGCGAGAGAGTACCCGGCAAGTCCCGGAGCAACGGCCTGGCAAGGAAATGGGCCGCAAGGCCGGCATAATGGTAACCGGCTGCCTGGAGGTCGAGAGAACGGCCCCCGGGGGGCGACTGTTCAACTGCCTCTCGGTAGTGACGACAGGCAGGGGCACCCCAGGCCCGGCCGTAACAGCCAAGAAGGCAAGCAGACCACGCGGGTGGCGACCACGCGTGCCAACACAACAAGGATCCGACCTGTCCATCCAAGTGTTCCGCAGGCATGACAGCCCTAATGCCAGCACCAGGCCAGGCCAAGTACCAAGCGCTTTGGCGGCTGGTAACGGGCGAGGCAAGGGGTAGGGCAGAACGGACACCTGGCCACGCAGTCTGAAGTTCCCAGTCAGACATCCGAAGGACAGTGGCGAAGGAAAGATAGCGAGGAACATGAAAGGCCCCGTACAGGAGAGCTGCGAGACCACACGACCAACCAGGCGTAATAGGGTCGAGGGCAAGCACCAAGACAAGGCTAAGCCACAGGCAGGTGGCAGGAGCGCTGCTACAACGAGAGCTGCTATCACCGTCACGAACAAGCCCGTGGTCAGAGTATCGCGGGACGTCCAGCAAGCGCATGGGGGGCTGGACAGGCAAAACATGTGCCCGTTGAAGGTTGGGGCTTTCCGGCACCAAGTGAAGACCCAACACATCATATCTAGCAGCAGGTATCCATCTGTCGACACTAAACCGGACGAGAGAGGGTCGGAAGGTGCAATGCACAGGGTCCCACACTTCATCCCGTTCAGTATGTACCGTGAGCGGAACTGGCTCGCCCGCAGACCATGCAAACAGAAGGCCGGGATTGCGGATCTGGAAAGGACTGCCCCAAAAAGCGTATCGCCTGGCCTGAGGAAGAGTATCCCAATACCGCCCACACGGGGAGCGGAGTCGGGGAGCCCAATTAGCGCAGGCTAGAGTCAAGACATCCCCAGACCGGAGAAACAAGGTGGGGTTAACGGAAAAGGCAGTGCCGCACCAAAGTTCGGGTGGCGCAAGAACGCAAGCCAAATCCGGTACCGAACGTCGGCATGCGCGAGTGAGGTCACCAGCAGTGCAGGTGGCAGGAAGAATTGCGGCCCTAGTGGCTGGCGGGCATTGAAGTAGCACAACAACAAAGAGCGGATCCGAGGGAACAGGTACCCAGTCCACAAATCGAGGGTCTTGAGGGGGCGTAACCAAAGTAAAATCGGACCATGCAGCAGCGGAGGTCCGGAGACCGGAAGGTGGCCCAGCAGCCGGTCCGAAGAAGGGGCCAAGGACACAACCAGACGGCTCCCAAAGTCGATGACACGTGCGATCCGAGTCTGTTAACGTCTGGAGACGGGTCGCTTCGACACCGGTGAACCCAAACGCCAACAACCCAGGTAACCACCGAAATAGACTGGTGCCTGCGTTCCCCAAAAGCGGGGCAAGAGTGAGGCCAGCTGCAATCAGGCCAGAGAGGTCCCTGCCTCCGCCACACCCCAAAACAATAGGCAGGAGGCCAACCAGCCACCCGGTGCCCCCAAGATGAGAGTGAGACGCCGCACCGGAAACGACATCGCCGTTTCGGAGAACTGTGCCGTGTCGGAGCTCATGCTGGGGCACCCCAAGGACGCGCGGCTGCGTCGTAACCGAGGGGAGATCTGTCCAAAGCTGCCATGCATCAGTGGTGGCTTTGACAGGGGCACACCAGCACTTGCCGTCAGCCTCGACGACAACATTCACATAATCCGGGTTCTCCGAAACGACCACGAGATGGGCGTGATCCTGGGCAATGCAAGGCACGGGGACCCAACGCCCTGGGTAGTGGCGGCCAAAGTCGCCCGCAAAGGTGAAGTCCAGCGCTCGCCACTGCGAGCCAGCCTGCGCATGTCCCCGCACCGCACGTTGGCCCGGCCGCCAGAGAACAAGATTAATTCGTACGGAAACCACAAAATCCACAGCCCAAACGGCACAATGACGAACTTGCGCATCGGTGTGGAAGATGGGTGGTTGATAGGTGGGCTCGAAAGCCTCGGCTGGGAGGGCCACGATGAGATCGCCGGAGCGCCAGCGGATAGGCGCATCGGGCGACAGCAGCGCTGTAGTCGCACTAGGGGCACGCACTGCAAGGGCCTGGAGAGGCTGAAGAAATCGCAGCGCCTCACCAAGCCAAAGTAAGGTGGATGCGCAGGGAACCAAGATAGAGAAATGTCGGTCGAGGGACGTGCCCGCAAGGCAGACGAGGTCAGCAGTTGCAGGGCGGGGGACAACAAGAAGGGCCTGCAATGCAGCCGTGGGCCACACCGGCGCAACTTCAGCATTCCACCCAGGGTCGCAAGAGGCCGCCAGAGAATGCAGGTCTTCAAGGGTAGCAGACGTATAGAGACGGCCCGCCTCCATGGGCCCGCGGAATGGGCTCAAGAGGACGACATCAAGCTCGGGCCTGGGTGTAAGATCGATCAGGTCGGCCTCACCTGGCTTAGCCCGCCAGGGATAGAGTCCTGTGCGAATGGTCAAGAATTTCAGATGCGGGGATCATGCCTGAAGCAGCATAAGCGAGAAGGGCCATCCCGAGGCAAGTGGGCCAACGTAGTGCAAGCAAACTAAGAACCCCTAGGTGTGCGGCAGGGCTCCTAGATGCGGGGTCAGGTGAGTGGAGCCCTTCAGGGTGGCGAGCACTCGGTCCGGACTCATCTAAACTGGGCGGCCGGAGGCTGAAGGGGTCCCAGACTTCAGAGGCAGTCTTATCGACAACCAAGACGTCGCCATCCCGCAGTTCACTCCCGGCCCGTACATAACGAAGCGCGGGTAAAAGTCGCCAACCGACCGGGGGTCGCTGGGTGTTGCAACCTGCCAGCAGGACGCCGACGGGGGCCATCTCAGGTGGGAGCAAGAAAATCACATGAGCTTCGGACACCGAAGTGCGTGCCATAAGGTGGAGATCAGACAGATCGCCAGTAAGAACCGGCACCCACGAACCAGGCATGATGTCGCCTCCGAGGCTTCTGAAAGTGGGGATGAGTGGATCCCAGTACGCCGAATCCCGAATATAGATCGGGCGGCCCACCCGGCTAGAAGTAGACCAGAACGTGGCCAGACCGCCAGTCTCAAAACGGAAAGGGAGTGACCAACTTGCGACCTGCCGAGCACGGTCGAGGGACGGATAATGCAGGGCAGGGAAACGGGCTGAGCCGGGATCCGACGCCGTGGGCAGAAATCCAAATGCATCCCCGTTGCGAAGGTGGAGATGAGAGAAGGAGTGAAGTGCTCGCAGAGTGGGAGGAGGTATGGCCTCCCAAAACCGAGTGTCAGGCAGTAACCGCGCAGCAAGACGCTGAACATCCTCAAGAGATGAGTCCACTGATGCCAGGGCGACCGCCGAACCACTCAAGGTATGCAAGACCACAGTGGCCATACCGAAAGGGGCCACTGGTGCAAGAGTTACCTGCGCGAACGGAAACACCGCGCGGACAGGGAAGAAATGCCGAGCCCAGGTGCCACAATGACGAGACCCCAGCTGCTCAAAATCAGACCAGGGCCCGGCCAGATTGACCGGATGATACTCACTCCATCCACGCACGGGGCAGAGGATCCTGGCAGACTGCAGAGTAGGGCAGGGAAAGCACCTCGCAAAGCAAGTAAGCCCATCAGGGTTGTCTGGCTGCCAACCGGCTTGCAACAGATAGGGCTCGCCCATGCCAAAATCAATTCGCGCAGGGAAGAAGCTTCGATGACCCGAGGCGGCCCGGGACCTGCTACGACTAACCCCACGTCTGGTGCATGCGGATGGTGCGAGCTTCCGAGGAATCCACACTAGGGCAGCTACCAGAGGAGCCGGAGGATGCCGCCTGGCCATTCCCGATGAGGGTAAAGAAGAACAGAGCTGCGCGTACAGTGGGAGAAAGTCGGCCGGTCCAGCCAAGAGCTAAGGATAACACCCACCAGTCGCCATTACGAAGGCTCGACTCCTCCAGGACGGTGCTGGACGCAGGTCTCAGGGAAAAGCCATGAATGTACAGATCATGAGCAGCGCCACGGTTGACCTCAACACAATGAGTGGTGCTCCGGGATTGGATGATATTGACGCAGTCGGCGGCAGAAGACTGCTCGACTAACCAGGGAGGGGTGCCGATGTGCCCATGACACGGGGCCCACCTTGAGTCACCAAACTCAGACACATGCGGGTGCACCGTGGCTTCCGCGGCATTCCAACGCGCTTGGTGACCAACCATGACAATGCGTGTGGGGCGAGCAGGTGACCAGAGCAGAACACAGGAGGCATGTGCCACAATAAAGTCAGAATGCCAAGCCGCTGCAGCATGTGCTGCACCCCATGTGAGAAACACTGGGGGTTCACGAGTATGAGCCAGGGGGTCGACTTGCTGCAGGCGCACTGCAACCACGTCGCCGGAGCGTAACGCCAACACGGGCCGTGCTGTGCAGGCCGCCTCTGCCAGCCCTGGCTGCAAGTGGACACTGACGCGACGTCCCAGACGCAGCTGCAGAGCTTGCATCAGATCGCGTGGCGTGAGGAAAGCTGGTAGGATAACACAAATGAGCTGCCCCAGCCCCGCAAGGACAATGGATACCAACCTGCCACCTGGGCGCGGCACCAGAACGCGGGAGCCATCGAGAACAAGCCCCGTCTCCGTGAAGCCCCGATGCCAGGAGGTTAAGGTATGATGGGCCTCGGCAATGACTTCGTCAAAGGCGTGCTGTGGGTCCACCACGACACGATGCCAGCTTGCAAAAGGATTGGCCAAAGTAAAAGTAAGCCGGGGCGGAACGGCAGCCGAGACCTGAGCAGTCCCGGACGACGCAGACGGTTCCTGCTGAAGCATGGCGGCTGCGTGTGGGGTCCCAATGGCGGACACCGCCCACAACCCGGGTAGTCGCCGCATGCGTATAAGTGTAAGGGCCAAGAGCATAGGCAGGGGCCTAAACGAGCAAGCTAGGCCAACCCCTATACCCCAACTAGACAAGCTGGGGAGATCGGGACTAGCACCCCTCTCGAACTCACCGAAGACAACATCGCACAGGCGTGCTCCAAGGCATATGTAGGTATGCCCCCGACTTGGATGGTCCTCGGGCGAAGGTGGAGCTGTTCCGCGATGCTGCGTCGAGATACGACGCGATCAACAGAACGACACAAGCGCCCTTCAGGCGTGGCCGCAACAACATTTACTTTTGCCGCAACTCCGTGAACCTCAATCAGTTGTAAAGCCCGGGCACTGGTCCACTGGACAGGGGTCCACATGCCGGGAAACTGGTTCCGGAACTCTCCTGAAAAGGAGAAAGCCTCAGGGCACCAAGCTTCGCCGGCAGGAATCGAAGTAAGGAGCGGAGGTCTTTCCGGCCGAAGCAGGTGGACAGGGATGGAGTGCATAAGCCGGAAACCGACAGCCCATGGGGCGTGGTGCGCTGCAAGACCATCCTGCAGGTGCCACGGCTCCACCATCTCAAGCGGCTCTTGAGGGTCCTCCGGTGGGTCATGGATATACACAACATCTCCATTGCGGAACTTGAAAGCTGCCGGAGGGACATCAAACATCTCGCAGATAGCGAGGCCGTGCGGGAGCGAAATCCCCCCAACGGCACTGTTGATATGTCTGGCAATGAAGGAAGTCAGCCAATCGACAGTCATCGTCCTAGGTGTGAGAGCGGCCCGGTGGTGGCCATTCCAACTGAGCATCAATGTGACAAGGGCCGGATCGCAACCGATAGGCACGATAGACAGCTCATTGAAAGCAGGCCCAGGCCAAACAGGAAAGAAATCCTCAGCCCAGCCAGGGTCATCATTAAGGAACTGCGCCCAGGCTTGGGAGTGATGGGTGTCGTGGGAAACAGTAAATGGCGGGTACACCCCTTGGAACGGGCTATGCAAGACAACATAGACCGGGTCATCGGAAGTGATACCGGCGAAAACCCTATTAGCGGGGTCAACACCCCACGGAAACCCTCCTGGCCGATGCATGCCAGACACAGACAGGTGCAAAAGAGCCACTATGGCAGCCACAAAAGGACGGTGGAGGCCAACTAGGGCAAGAAGACAACGGCCCCAAATAGGCGCACCCCACACGACAGCCGATGTCGCACCCGTAGGACCCTCGCCTGTGGTCAGTACATGGCTGGCAGTGGCAGCAGCGGCCGCTGGGTTGACGGGGCGAGGCGGTGGGAACGCTCGAGACAGTGAGCGGCTGGCAGAAAGGCAGTCACCATTGCGAAATTGAATGACCTGTGTACCTTCATGCACCTCGGGTGGGCGAATGTCATACATCTCACCGTCAAGATGCAGCGCCTGCAGGGCAGCCGCGGCAACCGCCGACGGTAAGCAACACGGGACAAGACGACCTGCAATGCTGATACCCACAGCCGCATTGCCGGGAGCCTGCGGGCAGCCAATGAGATGGACGGCGACGGCGTCCGGCTGTGGCTGCAGAAGTGCGAGGCCAGCCCAGCCACGGCTTCTGGCGTGGCCCGCGAACAGAACAAAAGGGTTGATCTCAGGTCCTGCTGAGTACTCTACAATCTCGCACTGTTGTCGGGCAGTAAAGGGATTATGAATACAGAAGGGGGTACCTAGCGGTATGGCAGGAGCAAATGTGCGAATCCCCCGCTGAATGCCAAGGAGGTCAGACTGAACTTGCCGTATCACATCTTCAGAGGCAGCAGGCTCCCTCTCCTGCGTGGACGGCCAATGCCCGAGCGCATAGTCCTCAAGGGGACGTGCGGCCCGAAGGTACATCATGCCTGGCTGGAACGGGGCATTAACAGGTTCAGGTGGCGGCGGGCCCGCCGGCCTCCTGACAGGAACTGGGGCTGAGGCGTTAGAGGACATATCGGAAGCTTGGACGGGAAGAGGCTCCTCTTCTTCCTCGAGCTCGTCCTCGGAGCAGAGTGCAGGAGGGGTCATAATGGAGCAAGAACCAACGGAGGCAAATGCAAGAAGGCCTCCGACTGCAAAGGAGCCCTTTGGGGGCCAAAGCCATAGAGCCAGTCCCACGACCGTGTGCAGCGGCGCACAAGTCCTAGCACTGGAGGGGCCGCTGATATCAAGTAGGTCGACAGTCGGAGAGGACGCTGACGCACAAGCACCTTGAGAGGACAAACGCAAAACTGTCTGCCCATCACCTGTAGGTTCAGCGTCTGGCTCCGCCAGACCCGCCCAGAGCCTCGACGTATGAAAGGAAAGTTCCCGGGCAAGATGGTGGACCCGAGACACTGTAGCATGATCGAGGCCGGTACCGTTGCCAGAGAGATCAGTCTGAACACCCTGATCTACAAGTGGGGCAAGGGTAGCACCATCAGCAAGGCGCTGGCCGTGTCCGTCAATTAAGATGGCAGGTTCTCCACGGCTCGGCACATGGCGGAAGTAGGGTCCCTCGATAACAAAGGGCTCTGGATTCCAGGGGTCATCGTCACTAGGTAGCCTAGCAAGGGCACCAATAAGAACCTGAATAATCGCCCCAGAGGGAAAGTCAGGCAAAGCGGTTCCTGGCGGAAAGAATTGTCCAGCATAGGACAACGCAGGGCAACGTTCCGGTAGTTGCCCACCCTGAAAGAGGGCACGGAGGTGCGCAGACACAACGTCCCAGTTGAAAGGCGAATGGCCAAAAGTGACCACAGCAGCGGCCCCCCAATGAATAAGCCAAAATCGGGCAGTGGGTTGCGTGGCGGGGACCACAGGGACAAAAAGAACATGCTGCACAGTACTGTCAGGGAACGAGTGCGTCGAGCGAAATTCCCCGGGGTCATCAATGTGATGAAGCCGACACATCAGGTCCCTCAGCCAACGCGTAGGGTAACCCTGAGAACGCCATGGAAGATCAACTGGTTGATTGACATTGAGTGTCCAAATTCGAATGGTAGAGGGGGCCGGCGGATTGGCCACAACGAGTTGCCCGGGCTGCTGCATTGCTGGCGGCTGCATGGAGAGAACCAGGCGGCTGAGGAGAAACAGGGAGAGGCCTCCAAAAAGCTGCGACGAACAAGCCCTGGCCGCAACGACCTGTAGGACACCGTCAACAACCTTACCCACAAGCCCAGGCAGGACGCGGGTAATGAGGGCTCGGGCGCCTTGGGGGCTTGGAAGCATGTACCTAACTTCGGCGGAGGGTTCAACATTATAGACTACACCATCGGGCTCAACCGTGCAGAAGAAAAAGGTGCAGTGCGAGGTGTAGTGCTGCAGAACCGGCCGTAGCAGTTCACATCCAATCGAATCTCGAAGGATCCACCAGACAAGAGGGGATGGGGGCGCAACCAGAAGGTCCAGGACTTGTGGGTTGGAGTCGAAAGCCACATGCAGGCTATACTCGCAATCAGGCAAGAAAGCACCCAAGTACGCGCTGAGGTGCCGATCAAGATGCCTCCCACTGACCCTCATATGAACTGGCCCTTGGCCTGGAAGCCATAAATGGATCTGAACCTCTGGCAAGGGTGCTGTGCAGGTTATATAGGCACCCAGCTGGGGGGCGGCGACAGCGAATCCATGCGTCTGTCGGCCTAGCTCGTGGGTCCAGGACAGAGTGCATGTCCGCGTGAAGTCCCGGCGCGTGAGAAGGGGGTCGCCAGACCGGGTCTGGGGAGCAAGGTCGGACGGGGCCAACGGAAGCTGGACGGCACTCACCTGAACAGCCAGAACGCCCAAGAGCCAGGGAAGGCGCCATTTGCTGAAGCATAACCAACTCATGGCTGTGGAGGACAGTGACGCCGGAGCAGGTGGCGGGCTTGGAAAGTGGGGGTGACATTGCCGGAGCAACTGCGAGACACCCTCAGGCGAGTCGTACCCTACACTAACACATTTACCAGCAACCCCGGACAGATCTCTGGGGTACGGCCAAACTTGGGCACGATCCGACAAGAATGTGTGGGGCAACTCCCACAGGGAGAGGGACAGAGCCCGTGCCACATCATCCCAATCCGGAGTTGGTGTGCACATCCCGACAAGTCGGCCCCCTTCACGTAAAGCCCACACTGAAAATCCCGGGATGCAAGACACAGTGCACTTAACCCGCCAAGCTTCGCACCACACACTGGCGAAGTCGGAAGCAGAGTCGGGAACAATGCCTACCCCACAATTGGAGGGCGGAGCTTGCAGAACCGCAGCAGGTGTGCTCGCCGCAATGAATGGAGCGCTTGTCTGGACCTCAGCATGAGCAAGGGTGCGGCCTCGAGGAGGGGGAAGATGTGTAGACTGACGGATGACACGGGGCTCACCAAGAAAGCGCACCAGATGTCGGCCTGCGCGTGCAAAATCAGCCTGCGTGTGAACAAACCAAAACCGGCAGTCAGCCCGGCCTGGCATGGGAGTGCATTCCCAAGATAACACAGACAGTCCAAAAGGCTGAAGCTTGCGGAGCAAAGTCGCCGCTGGCCGGGGACTATGCAGAAGGCTGGCAAGGAAGGTCGGAAATGAGTCAAAGACTCCAGAAAAGACCAAGAAAAGGCCAACTGATGCAGCATCGGAGACATCAGTGAGCCGATAGACAATACAGTCCTGACCGGTCTGAGCCGCTGCGAAAGTGGCATGTGGGAGTGCATCCAGCCCAGGGACTTCCACAAAACTGTGTTTAAACCCCGTAGTAACGCCGCGCAGAAGAGCCTGCAACAGGGCAGCGTCGACAACATTCGAGCGCGGTACTTCGAAGGACAACACCCCTTCATGCGGGTGGAGGATGGAAATAACACGCATTTCGTGCAGCCAACTAGAGGCTGGCGCACCTCGACATGGCAGCATAAAAGAGGAGACATCAATGGCACAGGCCGCAGAATTAACAACAACCCTGACAACATCACCGTGTCTCAGCTTATGTGCGTGGCCTTTCAAAATTTGGATATCGGTAGATCCAGCGGCAGTCTGGGCGGCTTCAAGAACATGTGATGCAGCATATGCTGCCGGCAGCTCAGCGCATACAACCTCCTGGCCAATATCAAGAAGCACGGTGATGGCAGATGAGCATCTGGGGAGGGTGATTAAGTTGATCGCGTCGAGGGTAGGTCCGACAGGCGCAGCAACAACTTGGGGGCGGCCGAGTCGAATGGCTTGTCGGTACACCTCGGCCGAGGCCTCCCGTGCACTATCAGAGCTGGAAAACTCAAGACGGACCGAAGATCCAGGTTGCCATAAGCGACAGGAGATCAACAATCTCGCGCTAGACGATGGCAGCACCGCCCAAAGTTGGCCATCCCCGAAGTCTCCACTTTGGAGCCACAATGCTTGAAGGTGAGTGTGTACTCCGGCTGGCGCGGCAACCTGGCGATCCGGGGCTCTGGAGGCTGAGACAACGACATCACGCGGCGATGGGGGCTCACTGTGAAGCTGAACTGCCTCCGAGAGGCCAAGGTTGAGAAGAAGAGCTGTTGCACCCCAAATCAACCCTCCAAACCTGTCCGACAGAAATCCATGCAAGACCCCAATGCCAAGGAAGCCAAGGCAGGGGGGGGACACCGAGCCCACTGCAAAAGAGGTCTCGGAATCCGGCTCTGCAGCAGGGTCAGGTGTTGCAAGACAGGTGCTGTCAAGAAACTCAGACGGGGAGACCCCTGTGCATGCCGGCAAGGCGGCCGCAGCTGACGCGCTGGCGTGCGAGGGCAACAAGGTATGTTGAAGTGCAAAAATGGTGTCAGAGGTACCCGCGTCGTCCCATCCTCCGACTTGCTCCTCAGAGGAGGGCGAAGAATCCTGCCGGAAGACATGAGGGAAAAACATTATAACCAGCGGGAAGTTACCAGAGAGAACTTGCTCAGGAAGAACCGCAAGTTCTCGGTAGAGAAGCCCAAAACCCCCTCTGGCACACTGGTTGACCCATTCGACAGGGAGGCTATTCCTGTCACGGCAAGACGCGGCAGCAACGGCAGCAAGCGGAGTGACGGGCGGGGACACACACACCGTGGTCAGGCGCCAGCCTACGGGCCTAAAATCAAGAATACAAGGCACCTCGTCACCACGACAATGAATTTCGAGAAACTGCACAAGGGGCAACGAAGGCAATGGGTGCCAAATACGCATGATACCGCCGGTGGCACTCGGCGAGGCTTTCGTCGACACTATGCGCCGAAAAGTGGCCGCGTCAGCAAACACCGGTGCCTCAACATACACCAGGCCATTAGGAGTGAGAAGAATGGCTTGGTTGTGCGAGTGCCCAGGGAAGGCTTCCTGAGTGAGCGGCGCCGTAGGAAGGCTAACCTGCATACGCGAAAACAGGGAGAGAGGGGGATCCAGTGACGCTCCGATGAGTCCTTGCAAGGCATCAGTTGTCGGCCCCACCTGAAATTGCAAGGTATCCACATTTTGCAAGAACAGTGGCTGGGACAGGAGTGTCAGCCAGCCCCATGGGCAGCGGGCTAACAACAAATCAACGTCTGCCTGAAGAGCCTGAGCGGTGAGAGCAAGCTGAGCAATGGCACGACATGTGGAATCACGTGGGCAAAGGAGCATACATATTCTCCCTCCAAGTTGGCGCATGTCAACAGGAAGCCAAACTTGGCGCCAGGTACACCCAACAGCGGTGAAGAGAAGCTGCTCCCCAGGAAGTCCTGGTAAAATGCCGCGAACAGAGGATGCCGTGAAAGTCCCAGCCGGGAAGCCGAGAGTTGCCGCTACACGGTCGTGCAGGAGTGGCCCGTGCAACCACTCGTCAACCAGAAGAGGTATAGGGCAAGGCTCAAGGACCGGGGCGCCAGGTGGTGTGCCAACAAACACGGCGAGGTGCCGCCTGCTCCTATCCGTGCGAGGCAGCAGCAGGTTTCCAGTCCGACCGACTGGGTACACTTCGCACATCTCCTCGGCAGAGGGAGTAGGAAGGACCGGGCCAGTACTGAGGACAGGAAGGCCCTCGTGAAACCCATGAGCATGCAGTTGCAAGGCATCAAGCGAGGGAGGAAGGCAAGCGGAAAGAAGCCCGACGCCCAACCGAAGGGAGGAGCCGTCTACAACAGACAAGTACAACAACACAAGCGCGACTCGAAGAGGCGGCCGGCCCGTAGAATGTGTACCTGGCTTCACGCAATGCCTCACCAGAGCGATCCTGCGGCCAGCACGGGGCATCCCGGAGTGGCGCCCTCGTCGCCAGAGCCGAATCAAATGGTGACAGACGGGCCTGACATGCCGGGGAAGAGGGAAGCACACAAGTTCAGCAGGCAGAAACCGGAAGGTCCACAGGGCCGCGCACACCAACCGTGAGTGAATGCCAAGGCACAAGCACGGGGCAAAGGCCAGACACTCGCTGACAATGGCACAACCCAGCATAGGTGCAGGTGGACCAGCGGATGCCGCCACCCACCATGCGGTGGCCGAAATGGTACTGCTGAGTTGCCACGCACGGTGCCAAGGGAGCTTCCTGCCATAGGCTGCATGAAATCGGTCTACCACAAGAACTACGCGGCTCAGGGCTATGTACAGGAGAACACATCTGCCTAGGAAAAGGCCCAGCGCAGTGACAGAAAAGCCCCGCCAAGGATGCTCTTCTTCACTGCGATGGGCGAGGCCATCGTGTACTTCCAGTAGTGACGGCGTCAGCTGCAGCACTGGGTGACCAGGGGCGAAGTAGCACCCTACTCGAGCTCCTGCGGATTGGGGCTCAAATC